AACTCAAAACAGAGAAATTGTCAATCCAGAAGTCTTTGTTCAATTGGCTTTGGAATCAGGTCATTCCGATCTGTATCGACGAAGTGACATCCATTTTCCCGAGCTTGCGCAGGACTGTAATTACTGTTCGTCCTGTTCCACGTGTGCAAGTCACTCTCCCGATCCTAACGTTCGAGTAGCCTACACCAGGCTGCATCATTTACATTAAGATATTCTACCCCATTGGCTTTTGCGTGTTTCTACCTCGAATCACTTCTCAGCGTCTGGGTCCTTCAGGATCATTTGCTTTATAATGCAGTCCTTTTCTCTTTCTTTTGATTTGCTTTTACCGAGTTTCCTTATCATGCTTACAATTATGCAGCAAGTTTACATGTATTTCCGAGGTAGTGGCAAAGCTGCAGCGACGAAGCGCGAGGCTGCTAGGAGAACCATGATGGCTGTGACATAAGATTGCGGTTCAGAGGATACGGTGTTGTAAAAATAGATTTTGAGCAGATGCCTGTCACATATACTATTAGTACTGACAATCTATGCTCCTGATGAGTTTGTTTCATTTTGTGGATATTTTGATCACCTTCCTTTGAGAAATAAAAGATAAAAAAAATATCCAGTCCGATCCAGGCGGTTCGGTCCCTTCCTGGAACTGGGAACCGTAGCGAAAATCACCGGTTCTTATTTTATAGAAATAGGAATTGGACCGGCATCTCAAGGAACCGCCTAGAACTGGCCAGTTCGGTCCTATCCGGACAATTCCCAATTCGGTCGGTCTATGTTTCTCACCCCTAAACGGCATGGCTTTAGCTTTGGTGAGTATATTGGACCTATTCAAAAGAATAGTGGTGAATTCAAAACATCTATTTACCCATATACAGAGAGGGTGCAATCTTGCATGTTCAAATTTGATTGAAGTTCTTTCATGGAAATCATGCAACCATGCCACACAGCCATGCCACATTGGGAAAATTGTCCAATCAGTTATAAACCTATTGTATGAATGTCAAATCTAATTTTAAACTTTTCAATTTTGTTAAATGAGTAATGAACTTTTGCGTGAAATTTCAATATAGTCATTTCGACCAATTTTAACCATAAAATAGTTGTTGTGGCGGTGTGCCACGTAGGAAGGGGGATGATGATTGGATCGCCACGTAAATAATTTCCGGCAAAAATCGACCGAAAAGATTATATTAAAATTTCGCTCAAAGATTTAGGACTAAATTGATAAAATTGAAAAGCTTAATATTAAGTGGCATCCGTACAACATGTTTAGAATTCATTAGGTAATTTTTCCAATATGTCATTGACTCGACGAGTAACGTGCGCAATAAAATTTTTCCAATACGATCAAAGTAATGCTCGCATAAACATTATTGCTCTACAAAGGGCGCACAGTAGATTGGTGCGTGCTGACACAAAGGTACTTAATTATTTTTCTATTAGGTAAAAGCTGACACTGTGCTCTGTTTTAAAAAAATATAAAAATATATATAAATGTTTATATGTGGAGATCAGACAATTTTTTTTGTCATTAATATCTGCATATTAAGACAAAAATATTAATGTGATTATAGACAAAAAAAAATCATATCCTGACAATATGTTTGTCAATAATCACATTAATATTTTTGTATTTCGCCGTACGAGTTTCATGAGCAATTCCCAGCCCACGTGAGAGGGAGTATTTCTTTTCTTTGAAAAAAAAGGAAAGAAAATAACAGAATTTTTTATATTTTAATAAACTGTGAGTGATTATTACATCTAGCTCCTAGTCCATCATAATATATATATATATATATAGCTTCTGGATGTATAGTTATATAATTAATTTGATTTAGGCTTTTATAAACATACCTCCAGCCGCAGATGTCGGAGAGTGAGTTTTAGATGAGGCACCTATGATTTTACTTTGATTGCATTATTCACTCTTGATCGTCTCTTGAAATCACACTTGAAGTAGATCTCGGTTAGAAATATTTTTCAGAATTCAAAGACCGACCGATACATCAAATACCCCATCTTATAACGTTAATTTTGTTTCGTACTAGGTGAAATGCTGAAGTTTGAAATTAACTAAATCACTCGAAAAATCAAATAAAATCCAAAGTTTGAAAAGGAGAGAAAACTTGTTGAAAAATCTTATAGCCAAACAATATCTTTTCCATTTACTCAAGTTTGGAAGTCAAATTAAAAGGAAAAAATCAACAAATTTCCTAAGAAAGGCGCGTCATAATTTTCCCATTCTCAGCTTAGTATCATTTTTTCTTAAGTTTTCTATGGATATTCACTTAATCTTGCTAAAGCGATCGCCTCACCTGATTCTTTCATAAATTTCTGCTTGTACATAGATATTACGAACCATTATCGTATCAATAAAATCTTGTGATATCGACGTATGCCAATTACTTTTTTACAAAATGAAGAACAGTATAAAAGTACGGAATATTCCTAGTCACTCTTTGACCAATTTTAGATTCAAAGCAATCAATTGAGTACTCGATTTAAGATGATCTAAGTAAATCGTGCACATCTAAGGATTTTCTCTGCGCATAAGAGGACGATAATGTCAGGAATCTTTTGTTTTTAATAACAAGTGGCAGGAATCTTTACAAGGTTTATAAGTAGTAAAACATGTGGGTCGGCCTTCAGTTATTCAAACCCTAAGTATGCAGCTCTCAGTTACTAGTACTTATAGGTCGATTCCCTCAAGACTAGTAAATAAAACAGTATATATATAACATATGGCCAAAAAAAAGAACAGTATATTCAACATATAGGGTTTGCATATAGGAATAGAATATAGCTAACGGGCAAGAATAGCGCTCCAAGCCGTGAACATGTCATGCCCGTTATCACTCTTAGGCACTTAGTTTGGCCATCCGGAAAATTAGAGATCGTTTTGCCTGATAAAAGTTGTGTCGTCTCTTGCAGATCATGCGTCGTCCTTATAGATGTCTCGTAAGGGTCGCGACGGCTAAGATTTTCAACACGGATGTCGCACCTGCCGGCATCAAAGAATCGCGGGATACACAAATCTGTAGATTGGTGTAGAAAACAAGGGCGGCATTTAACTATGTTCAAGGGGTTACGATCAACATGAGTAGAGTGTATGGGTACTTCGAGATTTCTTTCTTCTTTAATAATTTAAAGTCCGCTTCAAGGAATGTTTAACCCAAAAGGAAAAAGGACAGCAGTTGTCAAAAGTGAGTAATCATTGAAGTACACACGTATATCAAATTGCAAAAATTGAGAATGTTGGTGGACCTAACAAAGATTAGTTGTGTGTTAATCACTAATTAATTGAGTCTCCTCTCTTTCCTTTTGTCATCTTCCATGACTAATCAAAGTTAATAGGATTAATACCACAAAAAATCCTAAACTGGCATACATGTGACAAATTTACTCCAGTCATGTGTTAATCACTAACTAAATGACTCTCATCTCTCTCCTTTTGGAAGATAATCAAAGTTAATAAGATTAACCCCAAATTGGTACACCTGTGATAAATTTAACTTCCGTTAATTTCTGTTAAATTTTACCGTGAATTTACTGAATGGGATGACACGTTGCAGTTGAAAGTGTACTAGTTTAGGGTTTTACCTATCTGCTTATCACAAATTTATCCATTGTGGCTTTTCGTGGTATTAATCTAGTTCAACGGAGGATAAATTTGTCACAGGTGTATAAGTTTGAGGTTTTTGGTAGTCAAAAAATTAGTTTTGGGTAAATTTATCACGGGTGTATTAATTTGGAAAAAAATTAATATAGAGTAAATTTATCATAATTATATCAATTTGGAATTTTTTATGATAATAACCCAAGTTAATAACATCATACCTGCCGGGAGTGGCTCGTGGGGGACAAGGACTTTGATGATGGAGACCAGAGAGATTGGAATCACATGGGCCAAAAGAACTGCATTATTCCCTCTTTTTATATGGAGCAATACTATATCTTTTGTGGGTGAAAAGATGGAGGATTTGACGGTCCAAAATGATTGCAGCCAACAATGGCGTTCGAGGCAGCTCCAACTCACTCGAAAAGCCCTTTTGTCTTTCCATGTGGAGCCTTCGTGCAGGAATTCATGTGTGGTGTTCAAAATAGAAACGTGACCTGCTCCTAAAGTAATGATGTTATTATTATGATTTTGCATTGAATAATGGGACTGTAGTTAGGTGAGAAGAAAGTGCTCTGTAAAAGATCCTGGAATTGAGCACCAGCTCGTCTCTCTTCCTGTGCCCACTCAAAGAAACGTGAAGGGAGTTTGGAAAGAGTGATCGGTTTTGAGGTGGATCGATTCTTCATTATAAGGTTCGATCTTGTAATTCTCGATTCTCAAATATTGAAACCAGAAATCGAACTAGTTAGTTTTGAGACTGTCGAATCGGGTTCGGTTTCGAATTCAAGCTGCACAATTTCACTACAAAAAGATATACAAATCAAGTGGTCATGTTATTGCATTTACAACAAAATTAAATTGGACATGTTATTGTTTGTTCAAGCCGATACCAATGTTTTAGTTCTCGATGGTTGTAAATGCATCCTTTATTTCTAAAAGAGGCTTCAAAACCTGTTTAGTGTCGGTTCAATCGGGGAATTGGATTGATTGATTTGAGGGTAGAAGCGAGGTGAACTCGGTCGTTCCAGGTCGATTCGGTCTAGTATTTGAATTGAACTAGACCTAGAGCTCCACCTTGGTAATTGAATTTAAGTATGGGCTTGCGCAATTTATTGGCCCAAACTCTAAAGTTTGGACCTTTGGGCACACCGAGTACCAACCCATCCTTTTTCCCCTCAGACACTCTGAATTATAACTTTGTGCAGCTCATTGAATATCAGTTCACGCCCTCCCTCCTTCAAAGCGCCGATGAGTATAGATCAACGCAACACCAGAATCAATTCCGCAACGAAATATCAACTATTGATGACTAATTTGATTGGACGTTTAATGATAATCTGCGGATAAACAGCGAGAAAGATCAGACTGAACATACTAAACACGCTCAAGCAAGCCTAGCTAAAACCCCAACGAAAGGTGCCGTGTTAACCGTCGCGGGCTCGGCCATCTGATAGTTCGACCTCAAGTCTGTGTACTCGTCTTGCCCGTCCGGGCCCCCAACGAGCGCTCCGACCAATACATTTGGGTTCGGTGCGTTCTTATTAAACCACAAGTCGAATCCTTGGCTGCATGAGACGGGCGTCGGGTCCTGCTTGATTGAGACTATGGAGGCCCCCCTGTGGTGCACTTGGGTCGGATAGTTCGACCCATAGCCGACCATGTAGCTCAGTTTCCTCGGGTTCTCTCCGAGGATATAGTCCGCCTTGAATTGGATCACCAACAAAAGAGAATGATAATTAAAATGATGTATGCTGAAAAAGAAATCCGCCTATTTATATACTAAAGTAATCATCCTAAAGTGGTGTTATCAAATATTTGATAAACGTGAGCTCTCACTCATATGATACTTAGTTGTTAGATTAGTCAGTGAATTCACATCAGTCATGCCAAAGAAAACACTGAATCGAAAGGCAATTTACACATAGGATATATATGATCATATGTACCTGTGACCGGGCAAGGTCGATCAGATCGGAGGATGATGCTATACCGCCGGGGCATTGGACCGAGGCTTGCTTGGGGGCAAGGTAGTCGGCGTACACTGCTGCAATTAACGCAGCAGACGAGGTATACTGGAGGTTGTTCCAGGGCTGAAACCACAGCAATCCACCAGGGGACTTGTGGAAATTGCCGTTGCCTTTCTGGAGGCAATTGCATATGAACTGCTCGGCTTGGCTCTTGTATTGTGCCCATTGCCCTGAGTTCTCAACTTCGCCTTCCAACACTAGCTGTGCAATTCATTTCACGCATAAAATCAAAACGTAGGTCTAGTTTTTTTTTATTTTTTTTGAAATTTTCCTTAGAGCAGATCGAATATTTAATTAGTCCTTTGGCAAAATGTTGGGAATAAGTTTAGTGATAATGCAGTGTGCATCCAAAATATAAGTTCAAGACCTAAACGTAGTACTTTGCTAATGAAACCAAACTGGCATACAAGATGTGATATACCCTGGCAACGAGGACTTGGGCGCCGACGTACTTGTCGTTCCACGAGAACTCGGTCCGACCGCCGCCGGTGTCGCCCGAGCTGCCGAGGTAATCGAGGTACTCTTTGTCCCCGGTAGCACGGTGAAGCCATGCAGCTGCCCACAGTAGTTCATCCTGCGTTGTCATGTGATTAGAGTAGATTAGACATTGCATGCTTGATAATACGATCGAACACACATCTACTTACCAAATTCTACGTTATTTTAAACAGTACCTGATATCCAGAGCTGGAATAGAACTTTCCTGCTACAGGGATGCTATTCTGGTACTGGCCGGGATGATTCCGAGCGAAATCAAAGAGCTGCGCATGCAATAATTTAACACAAAAATTAGTCAAATTAATACATCAATCAATTAATAATAATAAATTTTTGTTAGGCAACAAAGGTACAACCAAATCATCAAAAAACAATAGATCAATTTATGAAGGACGCGACATTTTTAGATTGAAACCAATGTTGCTAGTTGAAGAAGGTCAAAACATTCGGCACATTTAATGTTCGAATCCACCAATTGATAATAAAAGGGCATAAGCTAATAAGCTAAATGCATGCGTGCGACGCGCGCATGATTCATGGAAACTGGTGGCGTAAAGATGAAACTAGGAAGAAGACCTGTTTTGCATGAGTTAGAAGCTGAGCCGAGTATTCAGAATCCTCCGAGGCAAAGGCGACCGAAGCCGCCGCGAATGCTGCCGCGGTTTCCCCGGCAAGATCGGCCCCGGGACTCTGGTCGTTGATCTTGTAGGTGGTGCGGGGGGTGGTCATCTCCTCGGGCCTCATCCAGCACGAGTGGTCGGAGTCGCCGTCGCCAACCTCGCCATAGAGGAGGTCGGGCTCAGGGTGGGCCTTGATCAGGTAGTCCGTGCCCCACCTTACGGCCTCTAGCGCGTGCGAGAGCTCGTGCTTCCCTTTCAGGGCGGCTCTGAACTCCACGACGCTCCAAGAGAGCAAAGAGATCGTGAAGGCCATCGGGAACCCGAACTTGACGTTGTCGCCGGCGTCGTAGTATCCTCCGGTCAGGTCGATCTATCCATCAAAAGGAGAGAGTTTAAACGCATTGCGGAAATAACCGCAAGAGGATATAAACTACTAGCAATCGACAAAAGATCCGATCAATAATTCGGAATATTATTGTAACACGTAGCGAAAAGATTGGTGCGCGGGTTTTTGCATGCAAAATCAAAGCAAGATACGTTTTTGCAATTTTTCTCAGAACGAAATTCTTATACGCAATAACTTCACATCCTTCGCAACATGCATGCGAAAATCAAGAAGATAAAACGTAAATAAATTGCAGTAAAAGCAAATGAAAATTCTCATACTCCGGCGTCCTCGCCGTCTTTGAGCGCGGAATCGCCGCGCCATTGGACTCTCTGATTAGGAGGCAGCTGGCCCGATCGCTGAGCCTCGAAGTACAGCAATGAGTTGGTGAGCGCAGCCCCGTAATCACTCGACCCTTCACCCCGAATTGCTGATTCGGATAACATGAGCAGAAGGGTCGATGAAAAGATCAAGACAGCGTTCATGCAGCAGCTTATTCTAGCCATGATGACTCTCTCAAGAACCAATACGAGGAAGCGGAACACATGTCTGTTGAATATATATGAAGAGAGTCATGACATATCTACGGAAGGTTTTGCTATATATGCATGGAAATATGTAAATTGATTTATTTACATAAGTTTGAAGCTACTTTTAGCGCAAAATCCCATACAGGTTAAGCCTTACAAATTTATATCCAAATCTGTGGAGATTTTTTGGAAATTCTTTTGAGGCTCATGCTTTTTCCATTTCAAATTTAGTCTGCCCTGTCACTGATAGGCCGTCAGATAGAATAGGCGATATTATCCTTAAAAAGCCTTGGGATATGTTGGGAAACTTTTGTAATTTCCAAACCAATGGATTATCTTTTAAACATACTAAAAGAAGAAATACCCTTGCTCGTTTCAAACAGTTTTTTCACCCTCGGTTCGCTTCTCCAACACCCGTTTCCTTTTGATGTTACCTTCATTTTTGTCATCATCTGAACTTATTCTCCGTTGTCCCCTTGCATGAGAGTTTAACCGCTTTTTGTAATCTAAGCAGGCATTAATCGTACGCCGGAGTAAAGAATGGGATTGCTTTATTTGCACATTGGTCGTTTCGTTTGCGCTAGATTGCCCGATCGCTGAGCCTCGAAGTACAGCAATGAGTTGGTGAGCGCAGCCCCATAATCACTCGACCCTTCACCCCGAATTGCTGATTCGTATAACATGAGCAAAAGGGTCGATGAAAAGATCAAGACAGCGTTCATGCAGCAGCTTAGTCTGGCCATGATCACTCTCTCGAGAACCAATACGAGGAAGAAGAACACGTCTGTTGAATATATATGAAGACGGGAGTTATGACATATCTACGGAAGGTTTTGCTATATATGCATGTAAATATGTATATTGATTAATTTCCATAAGTTTGGAGCTACTTTTAGTGCGAAATCCCATATAGGTTAAGCCTTATAATTTATATTCAAATCTGTAAAAATTCTTTTGAAGCTCGTGCTTTTTTAATTCCAAATTCGGTATGCCCTGTCACTGACAGGGATGTCAGTCAAAATGGACAAAAATATCCTTAAAAAGCCATTAGGATATGTTGGGAAATTTTTGTAAATTCTAAACCAATGCATTGTCTTTTAAATATACTAAACGAAGAACTACCCTTGCTTGTTTCAAACAACGTTTTTTCACCCTCGGTTCGCTTCTTTCACACCCGTTTCCTTTTTTGATGTTACCTTCATTTTTGTCATCGTCTGAACTTATTCTCCGTTGTCCCCTTGCATGAGAGTTTAACCGCTTTTTGTAATCTAAGCAGGCATTAACCGTACGCCGGAGCAAAGAAAAGGATTGCTTTATTTGCACATTGTTCGTTTCGTTTGCCCTAGATTCTCCTACTTATCATGAATTTTTCGACTTTGATTCCAGTACAAATCTAAGAGAATTCACTCAAAAATTTGACATTGTGGTTGATGTCTACATCACACGCATTTCATATTCCACTGTATATTCAAAAGACAACCCATTAGTTTCGAAATTACAAAAGTTTCCCAACATATCTCAAAGTCAAAGAGACTTTGATCCTTCTCTGGAGAGTAGTAAGCGAATCTAGCGTGGTCAACCATCTTTCCATAATCGTTTTAGACACTGGTGAGTGATTGGAATCTAGGAGACGATTCAGGTTTAGGAAATTTGGATAATTGGGTCTTCTTGGTATGGAGTTAATCCCAAAATTAAGCTAATAAAAGTCTTAAATCATGCCTATAATAGATAAAAGGAAAATTAAGTTCCTGTGCATACTACGCAATTATGAAGAGCTTAATCAGCAAGGATTTATCATGCCCTAAAAGGATATATAATATTAATATCTAGCAAAAGTCGCGTTAATTCCATACGCCATAGCAACACGTGAAAAAGTAAGTGTTCGCTCGACATAATATTAATGGAGCAAAACTAGAGCCTGCATACAAAATTACGGCAAGATATGTGCACGGGACATTAAATTCTACAGTCCCATTATAGCAATTTTGCCCATACGTCAAAAATTGTCACGACGGCATTTTTTCGTAGGGAAAAAATACGGGATACAAATTCACTAGATAGAAGAATGCCCATATATATTATATCCGGGCAGCAACATAGCATATATGAATGATTTATCATCTTTCGCGACACGTAAAAGTTCAGAAAATCAATCTAAGTATTGACAAGCAATAAATATCAGAGTGGTGATCACTGTCCCAAGAACAATACAAGGAAATAAGAAACAAAATTGAGTGGTGAAGAACTAAAAGACGTTTATGGATGCATAAAGATGAGAGTTATAACGCATGCAAGAGAAGTTCTACGTGTGTTGGGAAAATGCATATTGAATAACTTCCATAAGTTTAGAGCTCATTTAAGTGCAAAACCCCCCCAATTTGGTCAGCCCCTATATAATAAATCCAAATATTTACGGAGATTCTTTTGAGAATAGTATGGGAATATGGTGTGGCCAAGATATATTTTTCGCAATCTTTCTAAATCATTCTTAGACATTAGTTCGTAATTGGACTTTAGGAGACGATTACGATTTAGTAAACTGGTCAATCGGGTCTTCTTTCGGTAAAAAGTCACGTGCATCATGGCTGCAATAGATCAACGGAAAACTAAGTTTCGGTGCTTACTTGATGGCTTTGCACCGATAACGAAGAGCTTCAATCGAGCAAAGATTTCTCTCCGCCTTTGTGACTCAGGGGAAAATTACCAAAGAGAGTCCTGAACCTAATATATTTATACCAATTCAGTTCTAAACCTTTCGATTTAGCCAATTTAGTTATAAACATTTTGATAACAAGCCAATTGAGTCCTTCCGGATTTGCTCGAAAATTGCTTACGTAGATGTCCATTGTTTTTTTTTTGTCGAGGCCTCTAGTGAGGCCCTCCCCGGCCGCTAAGGCCTCGACCAGACTAGGCGAGGGCTGCCTTGCCATAGCCGCGAGGCCGCAAAGGCCCTCATCAGATCTAGGTGAGGCCTTTGCGGCCCAAGCCTAACATGCGGGGCCACCAAGGCCTTGGGTGAGGCCATTGCAACTTCGCCAACTACAAGCAAGGCGGCCCAAGCCCACGTCTGGCCGATTGGCCGGCGAGGCCCCGATGGCCTCCCCCAGGGCCTCACAGCTGCGAGCAAAGCCTCCGTGGCCGGCAAGGGTCACCGACGACCCTCGTTAGCATAATGAATAAAAAATCAAAGAGGAAAAAGAAAACAAAAAATATAAAAATTACAAAAATTGTCCACATCAACGCCGACTGTGCCATGTAGGATAACTAGCATACAAGTCAGTAATTTCCGATCAAAATTGGCTATGACTCAATTGGCTAATTGTAAAAAAATTTAGGACTAAGTTAGCCAAATTGAAAGGTTTAGGACTGAATTGACAAAAATACAATAGTTTTATGACTTTTTTGGTAATTTTCCTTGGACTCAGTTACTATTGAAAAATCCACTCGGTAGGGTAAGAGAAAGATTGCATTGTGATCGTGCTTTCTAAAATGATGGAGGTACTCCATTTCAAAATTTCACCAAAGTATTTTTAAATCTATTCGATCGCGCCCTCAAGATGATGAAAGATTATAAATTTCGATTTTGATATCAAGGTTAGTTCCATAAAATTATACCTTGATATCAAGATTATAAATTTCGATTTTAATTTCACCAAAGTATTTTCCTAAAAATGATCGTTTATATCGCTCATAAAAATGAATAAACATAAAATATTTTCATTGTCTACGAAATATTTTGGACATAAATTGGCATTAATAATGAAAACGTTTTTCATTGACTAATCATTTCAAACGATACAAAAGAGTAGTTTTAAGAAAAAAATTTCAAATCATTTATTTTCGACGAAATAAATGGAGCATAAAATTCAAAACAACCATTTGTCTCATTTTTTACTTTATAAAATTACGCTTACGGAAGTTGCATCCAACAGCGCACGGAAGTTGCTTAGCTATTTTCGGCATAATGCGCAGGTTTGCGAAGCATTTCTCCCCGTGCACATGCTAATAATTGGAAAATATCAACATAAAATTATCTTATGAACAATAATCATCGTAGCTACCTTCAAAATGCGAAAATTAAATATGCTTCAAGAAATAAATATAAAATTCTAAGCGATTCTACGTGTCAACATTTATAGATTTCAAAAGTTTCGTGTGTTTGACACTAGACGAAAATCGAAACACGGGCATCTCAACGTTCGAAGTAAAATGTACTTGCAAAGGAGTTTTACGAAATTCGCTTGCTTGTTTCTAATCTTGGCATACCATTCCAAATATATAGAGATTTGGAGGGATTGTAAGAGATAGCACAAATTACAAATTTGTCTCTCTTCGACGTAATGCCCGTAATGTCGTCTATAAAATAAGTTGCCGATGAAACGGATAAGATAGTCGTACCGTCATAATTCGATTCATTTCCGCTCTATTCTCTTCTTCAACCAAGCATGAAGTTCCCCAATATCCTCCATTTCCTTCCTTTACCTATATGAGCATCCGGACAACAACAGAATCAAATCATTTCCTTTCCTTTCTCTTCTCTAGCCAGCTCATTATCCGGAAACTTTTCATTCCCTTTCACTGCAGATTTAGATGTCTGGAGAGATGGCTTATGATGTTTGATTGCAGATGCAGCCGAGCTGCACATTCAGAAAGATGGATGGGGATTTGAGGAATGAGAAGAAGACCTTAGGAACCCTTCAGAGCTCTGTCTTTGCTCGAAGTTAGAGGTGTGTTTTGCCTCATTCACTGTGCTTCAGGATGCACATTTAGATGTCTGGAAAGCTGGCTTATGATGTTTTCACCTCGCTAATCATAAGAAGTCGTATGATGATCATGACAGAGTTCAGGTTCTTGATATGCCGGGGTTACGTAATTTGCTTGAGGTTTTCCATATCACGGCTAACTTCGATAAATAAGAAGATTTTCACATATTAATTATTCAACAGGTAGCCTCCAATAGGTTGGCTGCGTTGATAAGGGTTTAGGACTTGGGATAACAGGTCTCAAGTTCGAATCGCCTCTACCGCGTAGCCTTATAATACTCTTGACTTATATAGAGATTGACTTATATGGAGGTTAGTTTGTGGGGCCAGATTAGCTCTCCTATTGGTGCCTGGCTGATTGGGCCCTTATAGTGCGGCCGGTGCGGGAGTCCGGATTATCAAAAAAAAAAAAACTATTCAACACGTACATGCGTGGATGAAGATGTGCTTGACCCCGACACTGGCTTATTGGTCTGATAAGTTAGCTATAATCCTTAAAAAAAACGCACATAGTTGACATAACAACATGGGAAAATAATTTTAGCGCAAAAAGATTGACGTTTATGCTATTTTTAAGAACACAAGTTCGAAAACTTGCAATGCAATGGTGATTCAGTTTCTATTTTAGAATCTGAAAGAGTACTCCATCATCCAAGAGAACTGTGGATGATAGAATGCTCTTAGAAAGACACTCGGACTCAGCAGCCGGCGAGTGGAAAAACTCGCTTAGAACCAACTCGTATTCCATGAGAACTGTCAACAGATGAGTTCACAAGCGCCTCGAGTCGATTCCGACCGCAGGCCGATATGGTCGGAGGAGGGACAGAAGGAGAATTTTCTATCAGCAACTAGGAATCTTCCTTCGGCCCTCGAAGAATCGCTTGTCGGTCCTCTTAGATTCATTGGCTCCCGGAGCTCCGGCTTCAGTTTCCTTTCCGAATCCGAGTTCCGACCTGTCTTGCCTCGCCATCAAGGTTCCTGAAGAATGCAAATGCCATCACTCGTGAGCTCAACATGACCTGATCAAAGAAGTTTAGAACACGACGTCCATAAACGGTTAAAAAGGATTTGATGGAGATTATATATTGGGAAACCAATGGTTTAAAGATTTCTTTCAGCTTATTATGGCTTGTTGTCCCCACCAACATTTGCTAGATCAATGAATTCTCCTCCCACTATTCTATGTGACATTATATGTGACATGGTTAATGCTGATATAGATAAATTTTATTAATTTATATATTTTTTCGAAAAAAATTTATATGTTTATTTCATTTATTCTTTTCTTTTCTTTTCTTTATTTTTTTTTCGTCCTTCTTCCTCCGCCCGTCACCGGCAGCGATGGCCAACAATCACCCAAAGGCAACAACCGATGAGGATTGCCCTCACCGTTCGTTCCCTTTGGCCGGCCACCGGCCACCGCTGAGGCCCAACGACCAATGGAGGAAAAAAAAAAGGAAAGAAAAGAGAAAGAAAAAGGAAAAAGAAAGTATACAGAATTAATAAAATTTGTCTACGTCAGCACCGGTCGTGCCATGTAGGAATGATAGTGTCCGCGTTAGCAATTTTTAAGCAAAATTGACCGGTTGAACTACATTGGCAAATTTTCAAAAGGTTTAGAATTAAATTGGCAAAATCGAAAGATTTATGACTGAATTGCCACAAAGCAATAGATTTAGGTTTTTTTTGATAATTTTCCTCTACTTTTGAAATAGCCTCATATCCTAGACCCCAAAAAAAAAAAAGAGCCTCATATCATGATCCTCCAATTCGCTCTTCCTCTCAAGCGCACCTTGTTTATTAACAAAGCTCGCGACCGTTTATAAATAATCTTTTCAATCCTTTCACCCATTCAATTAAAAGAACTTTATGACAAAAAAAAAATTTAAAAGAACTTTTCAAACTTTTTAATTATTAATTAATGAAAATAGGGACTTGGGCCGGGCCGGGCAGGGCCAAGTATGGGTCGCACGCTGGTCTCGCGAATCTGGGATCATGGGCAGTTTGGGCCTGCAGGGCCCTCCCCGCTGCCGCCCTCGCCATCGCCGGAAAGAGCTACGTCGTGCTCGTTCTAGAACCTTCTCGAATGTCCATGCACCCCTTCTAACGCGCGTGTCGTTGCATTAAGTAGACCTTTTTATGCGGGCCTTACTTTCCTCAAAGGCTCCCATATTTTACTCATGAATACGTTTAGCTGATTAAAGAGAGATTTTATTAATTATTATATGTAAATATACATATCTCGTGTCATTGTACTTTCATAAGAAAGCACGCTTGAATTGTCAACAAAAAATTCGGGTGTCGACAAGTATGCTCAAGTGAAATTAGCCAATACACCAACAAGGGGTGCACTGTTAATGGTTGCAGGCTCGGCCATCTTATAATTCGACCTTATGTCGACGTACCCGATCCGAGCTCGTCCGGGCCTCCAACGAGCGCTCCATCCAGTTCGTTCAGGTCGAGGGCATTCCTATTAAACCACAAGTCGTATCCTTAGCTGCACGAGACGGGCATCGAGCCATTCTTGATCGAGACGATGGAGGCTCCCCTGTGGTGCACTTGGGTCGAATACTTTGACCCGTAGCTCACGTTATTCGGGTTCGCCCCAAGGATACAGTCCACCTTGAATTGGATCACCAAAGAAAGAGAATCATAGTTAAAATGATGCGTGTTAAGATATGAACCAGCTAATCTGTTAAAAATGACACGAATGGTGTCGGCAAACTTCAAGGAAAGATCGACGTCATCTCTACTAGCTCTTTTTTCAGGCCAAATATATGACATATCATGGTCAAACGTGGGTAAATTCAAGAACACCCCATCCGGTATAAGAAATTAAACCGCTGATTCTAGCATTCAAGAACTCTTACAATGAAGCACTTTCCAGCTATAAGAAGTGGAAGCAAGGAGAAAAATGGGACTGTAGCCGGCGCTTCAGATCACGAAAGAGATCCCTCGAAAGATGCTTTCGAAAAAAGATGGAACTGAGCTCTCATCACCCGTCCTTCCTTCGAGGTCAATGTTAATCAAGACAGGGAATTTAGAAGAAGAAGAAGAAGAAGAAGAAGAAGATGATGATGACGATGATGATGATGTTACCTGCACTCATTACAAGTTCATACGCAATTGGGCCTAGGAACGTCATGGCCGCATTTTGGGCCTGGTTCGGGTCAGGTCCATGGGCCTTAATGGGCCCAATGCTTTCAACGGTTTTACAAGTCCAACTTTAACGTTTTTACCCGTCTCGTCACCACCCTCTCTCTCTCTCTCTCCGGTTCGCCTCTCTGCTATCTGCTCCTCGGCGCGACGGCGACGGCGGCGCCCACCGGGGAAGCAGTCGGCGAGGCCCGCTCGACGGTGGCGCCACCCAACCGCGAGCAGGTTCCCTCTCTCTCTCATCAAGTCAGAATTTTGAGCCGTTTTTGCAGCTTTGCCGTAAAAGCTCAGATCGGGGAGTCCCGATTGTGCACTGGATCATTGCTAGCCTAATTCCACGTTTCGATCTCGTAAATTTCATCGCCTCGCGTGTTGTTGCGGCAGAAGCTTATTGTCTACTTCATCGAGTGACCTGGGTAGTCCCAGTTGATCAGCGTCGGCCAGAAGGCGAAGTTAGTACATGAACTTGGCTGTACTGTTAGGCAAATGGGCACATTGTGCTGGAGGGATTAGCCCTGAAGGAGAGAAAAAATTGCATGTATGCCTGTATTGTGAAAAGGGTATTTTGCGGTACTAGAGTAACCACGCGTGAGTGCTGATGTGGGTCCATGTGAAAATTACTACCGAAAGATGTCGCTTTTACAATGCGCCCGGAAGCGAGCTTGAATGAAATGTCTAGACCTTAGCAAGAAAGCCACGGGAGTTGATTTGTTGACAGAGTCAAGAAAGAAGTACATTTAGCTGTTGGTTCTCATCGTAGTGTTTGGGCGGATAGTTGGTGCACTGAGGGTTAGCAAGATGGAAGACAGGGAAGGTCGAAGCAGTCGGAACTTCGATTCGACTCATTTCCTGGTTCTCGTGTTGTTGCGAATCTGTCATGGGAAAAGATGTTCCCCTGAATTTTGCACATTTTCCTCTGTTTTTTCTTTTTCTGAATTTGCTGCCTTCTATTCTTGATTCTATATTTTTCGAACATGGAAAACTATATCGTGCTGATGTCATCAGTACTGAACTGGGTACCCCCATCAAAAGTTTTTGAACTTGGGTACAGTTTAAAAACACCGGTCGCGGCTCACCTTAGAGTACAATGACATTCAACATGTGTTATGGTGGGAAAAAGTAGAAATGCCTTTTCCAGTTTGCATTTCCGTCATTTTACATTATATCGTGTCGAGGGATTTATAATTAGAACTTCAAATTGAGGCCAGTCTCTGTATTTTGTGCGTTTCTGTTTCTTCTTTCTTAAAGTTTTCCCAAGTTCACCTGATCTTATGTCAGAGTTTACATGTCCATTTTATTGTCTTTTTTTGCTCCTACTTATCCGGAGTATTGGCACTCTTCGATGCATGAAGAATGAAACTGTGAAAGAAGCCATGGAAGAACCTCATTCAGTTAGCAGTCCAAGAAGAATTCTCAGTCTATCAAAGAAGAAACGAGCAAGCGTTTCCTTTTCAGATCCAGATGATAAAGCTTCTGGCTTTGGATTGTCTGGAGAACATGGTCCCAAACCTTCGGAGGTCTATGGATTTGTAGGATCTATCACAACTGTTGTGGCTACAGGTCCACCACTCGTGCTTCATAAATATAACGTGGCACTTTGCTTTCATTTTCATGTTAGTCTATGAGTCTGCCCATGTGATGAATTCTTTTGGAACACGAATGAGTAGTTTTACTATCATGTTGCTTTTTGTGCTCATTGGCACATCCTCCACTATTCTTTAGATTTTTGGAGTTAGGGATGCCGTCAATCATCATCTGGTTGATAAAGTACATTTTCCATACAAATGCTTTTGGCTATTAAAAGAACAGTTTGTAAGAATTCCTCGATTTGCAGATAGAGGTCTTACAAATTTAATGTATGGACACTTTTCCTTGATAATTTTGGTGATTCTTTTGGGTTGATACTTGATTAACATAACATCTAGTTGCCTATGACAGACCTCGTGGTATTATTATATTGCATGGCTGCATGTGACAAAATGAAGGCAAATTTACAAGGTGGTTGTCGCTTATCTGTTTGATAGGTTGACAAAGGTACTCATAGATACCTATGACATGTTTGTCAAGACAATAGGAGGATCTAGATCTGGGACTGGAATATGGGATCAACTTTGTAAATCCTGAGAATTCCTTACCAAATAAAAGCAGAGAAAATTCCAATTCCGACTGCTAAAATTAGTGCTGTAATTCATTAGAGAGGTCTTCCCTATTTAATTTGGGACAAGATGCCTGTCTGAATGGATTATAAGTATCCTCACTTGTTATGAGTGATTTCACTGGCTTGGAGAGCTCTTTAACTTCTCTCAATTTATGCTTCATGCAGTTATTTTCTTCACATGGGCATACGTTCCTGAGCATTGGCTACATGCTGTTGGGATCTATTACTATCCTAGCAGGTCAGTAAGCCAATCCTTGTGCCTACTTTATATTTGTTGAGCTTCAAGTGTATTGTCCCTTAAATGTGAGATGAGGTTCTCCACATGAGTTATTCCACGAGACAGTTGTGTTCGCGGAAATTTCGATTCATCTTCTGTACAGTTGCAGTGATGGTTGACCTATTTCAACCAGTCATTTTGTTTGAATGTCCTATCAGAACAGTTTCGGATAATTTGGAAACTTTGCTTGTGTAAGCGTTCTATAACAGCTTCATGTGGATGTTTAAATTGGCCCCTTGCAGATATTGGGCTCTGGCTGTGCCAACTTATATCGTCGTGACAGTTGCGTTGGCTTTGGCATTTTATATTGGCCTCAACTTCCTCTCAACCCCTCCTCCAACATCCTTAAATACACTTTTTGGTAAGCCTTACATTGTCTTTTTGGCTGTTTGCAGTACCACCTGATGTTTTTGAACCGAAGTCGCTTCCTCTAGAGAACACTATCAGCCTATCACTGACTCAATTAAAATTGGTTGAGACCGGAATATGTAACGGTGCATCTCTGGTGGCTTTCCCACGTCGTGGTGGTATAACATCATAGGGTTTTCCTTCCACGGTTCCACCAAATCTGCACTTTGCAAAGCTGAAATGTTTTCTCTTACCTTGGACACTGGGTTTAAGAAGTATATGGAATTTTGCTATCGATCCGCTCATAGAGCAAACATGAGAAAGATCAATCAGTATACGTACGCTAACACTTCTGCTCCTGTTTTTTGCAGATGAGTTTACTAGAGATCCATCAACATTCGGTCCTTTGGGAGAGGGAGAGGGAGACGAATTGCCCATAGAACCCATATCTGATATTCCAATCAACGAAATTAATAGGCTAATGTTTGATCTTGTAAATGACGATTAGCACGACTCTGCCTCGGATGTAATGCTCTTTGTTCATTTTGCTTGCAAAAACAGAGCAGTCTGATCAAGAGGATGGAAGATTATTGTGAACCAATGGTAGTCTTATTTGGAAAGATCATGTATTTAACTTAGTATTGCTCGCTATCGCACCAACATTTGCTAGATCGATGAATTTCCCTCCCACTTATCAATGATAATATATGATTTGCTAGGTATAACAACGTGCATCGAAGTGCTGTTGCTCTAAAAATTCTGAATCCACCCCTTCTTTTACTTATGCCACCAATTGTTTCGCTTTTGATGTTGAATAGGGTAACCCTCGACCCGAGATCCATAAGGAAGGCAAGAAAACCGCTGCGAAAATCGATTGATGATTGGTGAACTATCTAAGGCGGACGAACATGTCGAGAAAAGTGAAAGTTCATATACAAAGAGGCAACAGTTGCCAATTATAATTATATAACGAACTCAAACGACTAGGTAGCATAACGCAGTGTTTGGAAATCACGTCATTTATTTCCATGGAAGAATTGACATTAGGAAAGTTTTAGTTGAACTTGTAGAACTAGAAGTTAGCCGACAGAATGAACACAATCAGAAGGACTATATATATCCATTCTCCAATTCGCTCCATATACTTTTCAAATAGCCTCGTGTCGATGTTCTCCTGTTCACTCTCCCCCTCAGTTGCACCTTGTTTGTTATTGATGACGGTCCGACTGTTTATAAACAATCTTTTCAGGCCGACGCTTCCGTCGCCATATAACCAAGCATACATATAGCCTACAAATAACTATGCTAAGTGCTGTTTAATAGAGTGTCAACCGAATGACTGATTGACCTACGCAAGAAGGGGCAGGGAGGAACAGAAGTATCAAATGGAGTGCCCAAAAATGATGTCAATCTGTGGGAGTAAATAGTACCGACAGCACATAAGTAAGAGCCAGAAATGCTCGGTTCTATGCCAAGGCGTTGGAACAAATTAAGAGGGAATGTTTCCAACATACTTCTTTTCATTCTGGACATATAATTTGTTGAAGCAGCATCGGCATATCTTCTCATATTAATTTCCCGTGGTCTGTCCTTTCACTCACTTCTCTACAATTAAGTGCGTATATAGTTACAATTACAACGCGCCAATCAAATATGATTATTATCATGGAATGGCGAGACTTGGATGGGGGTTAATCAGCCAAACAGCGAGACATTTGAGCTGATAACATTGATACATAAGTACGGCGATCCTTAGAGTCGACCTGCCCTGAGATCTGTACACCCCAGCACCGAAATAATGTACAACACACTTCCAGCATGTCCGTCATCAGCTTCCATTGTATGTGTTTAAATGTGGGAAGGATATGAATCAATTGTCCTTGAAAACCAAACATGGGTAGTCTGGGCTCCACATGTTGTTCTGCACAAACTCTGCAATTTCCTCCTGCGGATAGTAGATGTTTCATTGCATGAGTACATAAAAATGCGAATATAAGAAATTCAAGAGTAGGCATTCAAACTCAAATCATCTAAAGTCTACATATCACTCTTCTTCCAAATTCTTGCTACAGATAAATCCATACATACAAGACATTAAATACTCGGTAACACACTCAAACTGTCAGTGCAAGACAAGGAACACATGCCAAAGCTGCAAATACCGTAGATGAATCTTTTGACAACAGAGAATCAGCAGTATGAATTACGTAAATCCATTTTCATAATAAAGTATGTAAAGAGATCATGCCTGACTAAGTTTTTTAAGTTCTCGTGCATCCATGTCACGGTATCCTTCTGCTAGATCCTCTTCTATAGCTTCCTTTAGCACGGCTGTGGCAACCTCCTTTGTGATGTCTCTAATGCTGCATACAGGAGTCAAATAAGCAATGACAGAAAAGTATTAATGAAGCATTCTTTTGGATGCCCAACATGGAGTACTAGTTAAGCATCAAGAAGGTTTATCCAGATAAGAAATCATGACAACCTAGATATTGATGGATATATCACCCCTCTAAGGACCTCCTCTTCAGTCATGTAAGCGGCCAAGCTGCAATTACATTGGAAACACCATAAAAATGCAAAAGAAAAATAAAATATCAGCTTTTCCAACATCTAATTCATATTATTAAATATTTTTTAGTTAATAAATATGAAAGCAAATTTCTTGTTTCCAAAAAAATGCACTCAGAACGCAGAAGGTGGGGCTTCATCGTATCTTTCCCAAGACCATCTTGACCAGACATAATGTAGCTTCTCTTGGGTTTTAAGCAAGCATCCATTGATATCTACACTAATAAGTCAATGGAAAGATGCCCTGATACATTTTTTGGCCTTGAAAAAGAATGATCTTCGTGGGCGAGGCAATACCGGTGAAGCTGGACCTATTATAGGGAAAGTATAGGATATACCATTCTGCAGCAGCCTGTAGCATGCCATCAGAGACAATCCTAGATCCAGAGAGAAGTGTGCCAAGCCCAATGCTACATATACAGCAAATGGATAGAGTAAGAAAATAGTGTGTTAACATAACAAATAGTAAGCCAAAAGGAAAAAAAACTGACAAACAAATAATTCGCACAATCAGAAAACTTTTCAAATCCATGGAGTCGGATGGAATTCCTTGAAGAGATTGTGACTGAAAAACTTACCCCGGAAAAAGATACATGTTATTTCCCTGGTTACAGTGCCCGATATGACCATTGCCTGGGGAAAAAGAAGTAATCTGAATTATCAATTGAACAAGATTCTACTACAAACTGTAAATCCAGGTAAAATCTGCATCTTACACTCTAAAATCTGAAATGGAGGAGCATAAGGAGAACCCAGACAGCAAATTAAACTCATGGAGTTGGCCTCGTGGTCCAGGAACGAACTTGTATATATGATTAGGCACATAACACAAGTTCGATCCTCACACCACAAAGTGTAGACAATCTCATGTTTAGGCCACTCACCCAACAGTCAAGTCGACGTCTTACCTGGCCCATTAGTTTAATGCAGGTATACCAAGAACCCGAGTTAATCCACCTCGGTTAGAGTTCCACGTCATAAAGAAGAAGAAGAAGAAGAAGAAGAAGCAGCCACAAGCAAGCAAGCAAATTGTAACATCATAGGAAAGTAAAACATAAAACAATTCGAGACTTCCCGTACATCAATTGGGCCAAAATGTGGATCACAGATGCTTGTCTATTTAGTTTCTTTTCCCAAAAAAAAAAACTCTTCCCTTTCTTTAACTATTCCCAATGATACTTCCTTGAGTAAGAAAGTTCTAATGTGCTCAACTTTGTATATATATAAGGAGTTGTAGCCAAATTCAAAAGCGTGAAGTATGTGGCAGAACCCCATAAGGATTCATGTTGAATTCCTTGAAAACCATCAGCAGAAATTATGAATACCACAAGAGCTCATAATCAGTATGTATTATTCTACATGAAAGAATACCAGAGAAGCATGGATAAAAAGTGTCTTTCCTCCCAACAAAGCAAACTCCCCTCCCCCCCCACCCCCAAAAAAAAAAAAAAAAACGAAATCCTCCTTCCAAGAAAAAAAAAAGGAACTATCTGATATTAACTTAAAGAATAAAAGGAAACAAGCTTCTATCCATATATGAACATGGTGCGAATTAGAGGCAGGTCTGTGGAAAATTTGAAAGAGAGAAAGCATGAAATAGAGTGCTAGAAGTAAATATAACTGATTAATCAGTATCATTTAGTACCCACCGAGATCTACATCTTTGAAAGGACTTCCACTTGCAAATATAACATTCTCCCCAATGATAGAGAATGCTTCTTCAGGAGTACACTCGGCTAAGAGAAGAGAGAGGAATTAAAGTCTTGAAAAGCAATGGTGTGACAACTTTTCCATGCAAGAGAATATGAAAACACAGAAAGCTCCATACCATTTTTTGTAGGGTTTGACATAGCAAAAACAGCTGGTCTAGTGGATGTTGACCGTTTCATAGCCTCTAATACCTGATGAAAGGTGAATGCATCATGACATGGATCGCATTCAAAATATGTAGCAATTAAATATCTTAACTCCTGTCAATAGAATTCTTCGAAAACTAGGTAGTTGCCTAACAGCAGCTTGATGACATTAAAATTGGGAAAAATTCCAAAAAGGGGTCCGAAGTGGAGTCATTTTCTCAAATAAGGGCCTGAAGTGGCCAAATCGTCTCAAATAAGGACCTTTGGCTGGCCGGTGACTATTCCGTCACCGGAGAAGGGGTATTTTAGTAAAAAAAAATTATAAGTATACTTTTTTTTTTTTTTACTTTCTTTTTCTTTTCCTTTTCTTTTCCTTTTTCTTTTTTCTTTTTCCTTTTTTCTTCTTCCCTCCCCAGCCGTCACTGTGCCTGGCCGGCAACCTCCGCTGGCCTCAGGCAAGGGCCGCCCTCGCCTGGGATGGCAAGGGCAAGGGCAACCCCTTGCCAAATCTAGCGAGGGTCGCCCTAGCCCGCCGGACCCAGGCGAGCCGACCCTCACCCGACGCCGGGGAGGGCGACCTAGGCGAGGGCAAGGGTTGCCCTCGCCTGGGCTGGGCTGGGCGGGCAAGGGCGACCCTCGCGCGACGCTGGCAGGGGCAAGTCGCCCGCCTAGGCAAGGGCGGCCTCCGCCTGAGGCCGGCAGAGGGAAGAGAGGAAAAAAAAAAAAAGAAGAGGAAAAGGAAAAAAACAGAAAAAGGGAAAAAGAAAGAAAAAAATAAAAGACAAAAATACCCTTTGGCTAGTGAGGTCAAGTCCTTATTTGAGACTGATATGGCCACTTCATGCCCTTATTTGAGACAAGATTCACTTCAAGCCCTTATTTGAGAAAATGAGAGCACTTCAGGCCCTTATTTGAGAAAATGACTCCACTTCGGGGCCCTTTTTGGAATTTTCCCTTAAAATTGTTGAGTGAAGAACATTCTTCTATTCACAAAATGATTTTCCTCATATTTATGCACCACATACAATGGTGGAACATAATAGTGGTAGGTTCCTCCACTGTAGAGGGCCATGGGTTAAAGCCATGCAGATTTTTTGTACCAAGGGAACTGGTTAAGCAGAATTTATCATGAACAGCAGGTTAATGCAGCCATTGACGGTATAAGCTTTTACATGACCTTTTTAGCTCATAGTATCATCATTTTTTTTAATTAATAAAGTTCTAGCCAACCGTTTTTAGACAGTACTTTTCATCTGCTGGAAGAGAAAAACCTATCATGTTTGCAATGGCAGGCATAGAATTTTAGGTCCAGGGCTTGTGTTCAAAATTTTCACATAATAAGAAAACAGATATACTTACTAAACTTCAAGGGAACACCTAGTGACTAGGGGGTATGGGCCCACCAAAATTGCACCCCACAACCATGCAGTCAGCCAGTGCATGTTTGTAAAAACTAACAGCTTCTTCATTGGTTAAATTTTTTTTATTCTAGGATGTTCTAGTCGAACTCCCCTAGGTTAATTCCAGACATACCAAACACAAACCTGAAAAACTAATCTATAAGGCAAAAAGTTATGTACCTCTTTTGAAAAAAGGCCCCCAACTGCAGATAATCCAAGTAGCACATCAGGCTTGACTTCTCGCACCTGGCAAGCACAAGGTACCCAGGATCTTGAGAAGAACAGTCACTATAACGCAAATCAATTGTCAAAAGATAGATATTTTCATGAAGGGAAAATCCATATGTATGAGAATTGCAATCTTTATGATGGACAATCTCCTGTAATGTTAAAGGACGATGTTGACATAGAACTTTGGCAGAAAGTAGGAAATTTCCAACAGGAAAGCAGAATTGGCCCTGAAAGATACAATAAGGGTGATCTTGCTTGATATCCTCCATTGCTCAATCTCAATCATCTTCCAGGCATGTCAAAGCTAGGAAGAAGTACCAGGACAAGGATAATTTCAATGAAAGATAAAGGACAAAGAGAAACATTTGAATGGAGAATAATCTGAACATCATTGTGAGGATGTAAAAAGCAGATAAAACTTCGACACGGTGTATCATGCTTATCGTAAAATTATACAAAGTAAATGATACAAACCACTTCTACAAGGGATGCGCCTTCCCTCAAACCTTGACGATGAACTTCTTTAACCTTTCTTCCAAATGGCCTAGCCTCTGGATCAATATTCTCACGCTCCTCCGTGATTAGACCCTACATGCACATAGAAGAGAAAAGTAATAAACGTATCTTATCCTGAAATGTGGAATGACAAAGTCAAATTGGAGAAAAAGATGCATTCACCAATAATGCTATAACAACTACCACGGGAGCAGTCATTCTGCAACAAGTAATTAATGGATATAAAAAGAATACAAAACCAGAAGTAAAGAGACCAAAAGTTGAGAAAGTAAATATACAACAGAAAAATTCTTAGATCAGCATAGATATGTCCAGTCAGATTAAATAGGTCAACATCCCTGTGAGTTTACACTCCACAACATTATCATGTATACCAACAAAGAACCATGGATAAGAGCAGGGGGAACTTAGCAGGGCCAATTGTTAGGCATAGTAAAAAGTCTAGATGCTTTCTAAGTAAACTGAAAATTCTGATCCGAATTGTTAATACTAAATGATGTGAGTGCATGCTTTACTTTCAACGTTCACATACTGGGTTAGAAAATAGTGAGAAAGCTCCTTAAATTTCTCACATTTACAAGTACAATCAGTAATAACATCTACTTCACAATTCAGTCTACAATGTCAACTAAATCTTCAAACAATATCTTAAGAGGTTTCATAGCCATTAGGGTACATAAATTCCCTTCTCCATGATCAAATGCTCCTAAGATGAATGGACAACAATGGATTAAACTAAGCACATACATATGGCATTGATGCCCTAATACACTCCATTTCTCAGAGGCTATTCTTTTGATCTTGCAACTGGATCTTGTTAAGAAAAAATGTACTGTATACACCTATTTATTCCCTTTCACGGTTTCTTGCAATTTAATCTTCAATAAACCAAAAGATTTTTCTATAAAGAGTGTAAATAACGACTACAAATTTATTTCAACCCTCATAATAGAAAAACTATCACAGAAGTAATCTATCATCTGCTAAATAGCACACAGACTCTGCCAAACGAGACCTGTCAAACTATCATTTATTTGTTGCTGTAGAATTCCATGCCCCATTTTTTCATTTGTCAATTTCTATATCAAGAAATGCAACTGTAGCCTTGTCCAGAACTATCAAATTCCAATTATTACAAAGATAAATGCAACCACTAACCTTGGCATCAACCACCCAAAATTGACTACTTGCACTGTCAAAAGCAGTTTCATTATTTCCCAACATCCTTGCCATGGTTTTTCTAGCAGCATTAAGAACACCTATTCCAGCGCTGCACCAACATGAAGATTTGATAACTCGTGTTAAACATGCAGCAAAAGAGTCTTTTTCAAGAATCCAAATATGTGTATATCTTCAAGAAGCATCAGTATTCACATTGAGCAATGGTCTAACCACAATGGCCATGAATACAAAAGACAACCACCTAAAAAAAGTTGGCAGCTCAAAGATTGCAAAAGATTTTATGCCCCCAGAAAGGGTGGTAAATTATTTAGCTAATGAAAAGGAATCATGTCGAGAATGTAACTAAAATGTTCAACATAGTACCAATGTGCAAAAGGAAGATAGCCCCAGAATCCTACAAATGACTTAATAAGTTAGTGTCTTCTCCTCGATTTGCAAGTTTAACGCTCTCCTTAAGCTTTTCTTTAATGGGATAAGTGCATTTGATGTCCAAAAACTTACATGTGAAGTGCAATAAAATGCTAAAACTTTCAAATGATTTATTACTAATTTGAAAGAGGGTGAGGGGTTCCACAACAGCAGTGGCCATCCAGACACTGGCATAGGTCCATTGGAAGAGCATGGCTCGTGGCTCAGCAGCGGCTATCATTGCTCAACCCCTCTGCCTCTCCCTCTGTTTTCCCCCTTCCTTCTCGCAGCTTTTCAATTAGGAACTTCTAAAACATTGAAATGCCGGTGACACTAATTCCAAGAGAGCATAGATTTTCATCTCTCTCTCCTTGCACTAATCACGATTATCTGAAAAACGTCATCTTTTTTCTGTCAATTCTATTATTAGTCAGTCCTGGGACTGGGTTACCGAAGGATTTCTGGCTGCATACTCAACTTTCAAGATATTCGAGAAGTAAAAGATATTAACAAAATAGATTCAAAAAAGTAGTGAACCCCTCCAATACAAGAGAATATGTGGGCTGATTAAAGTGAAATCTGGTCCCTTTTCTTAGCTTTTCACCTGAAAGAGAAAGCAATACGACTCCAATTCCACTGACTTGATAACAAAAGAGCATTGAGTACTAAAACAAGAAACATGTCCTCAAAACTAGACCTTAGGATAGAGAAAATAATAAAAAATTTCATATCAGGTTTTTTGGTCATCTAAAAACTAATGGACTTAATGGAGATACTTGATTGCGCAATTTATGCAAGTTTTAGGACTCAATTGAAAGATTTGAAAGTTCTAGGACTTCATTGCACTTGGGGAATAAGTTTTATGACTTATGATGCATCAATTCCTTTTTTAAATTCGATTGTATATCGTTCCAGGGGTGCTGAGTGCTTTGAGAGCCATTCATAGGAAGTCCAACTACTAATGAATGTTATTTGTAAGCTTGTAAACCGGCTGCTGGCTTAAGTAATTATAGCCACTTCACCATTAAGACACTAGAAAACTCACTTCTGCACAGAGCTACAGAAGTTACTAGCCCCTACCGGATTTTCTAACTGCCAAGATGAAGATAAGTTATTTTCATCAAAAAATGATGGAAAAGCAAACTTCAGAATCTTCTCAGTTTGCAGAATGGAGATATAAACTGCCACCGAAATACACAGGACAATGTCAACACGAGCCCTCATAGCACTTATTGAGCAACATTTCATGAGCCATGAAATTGAATTCTGGATATTTTATTTTCTTGTTATTCAAGAAATTACTGCACTTTACTCATTAGCAATCGAAATACACAGGACAATGTCAACACGAGCCCTCATAGCACTTATTGAGCAACATTTCATGAGCCATGAAATTGAATTCTGGATATTTTATTTTCTTGTTATTCAAGAAATTACTGCACTTTACTCGATACTCATTAGCAATCCCTTGAAAAGAAATATTATATTTTGTAATACTCAACAGAACCCAAATATATACTGTTGCATCCAAGGTCAGATAGTCCTTATAAGTGAAAGCTATTTACAAAACTCAGAAAAGGGTTGAGACTGACCTTCCAGCACCAGCAACAACAATTTTCATTTTTGGAAAGTCAATCATTGACCTTCCTTGAGCTCTAACTGCTCCTAAAAGACCAGCAAGTGCAACTCCTGCTGTTCCCTGCCATTACAATTTTCTCGAGACTATAAGCAAGGATGGAAGAGGGTCCCAACAGCAAAGCAGAAAAGATGCCCAGGCACAGGAATCAATGCATATCTTCTCTTCTCTAACTTTGTATAGAAGCAGGTTGCAAATGTGAATCGCGATAATTTGGAATAGGTACAAAGAAAATGTCAAATGGAAATTAATTGAGTCTACATTTTACTGTAGTTGAACTGAACCTATTGGCCTGTCAACCAAAGTTTCCATAGGACAAAGTACTGGTGCTTTTTTTAAGTTTTTGTTAAGAGCTACCTTAAGACCCACAGATTTCACTTGACCTGCGACTCCATTTCAATAATATCTTGCAACCCGTTAATGCTTTAAAGTGAAATTTTCTCTGAAAAAGAGAGCTCATCAAATTTAACTCCAGGGATGAATTTACTGGAGTCTCATAGACTATGCAATCAATCGCAACCTTTTGTATAGTGTTAGAATTGGCATCTCGATTCCCAGAAACAAATCATTATAAAGATTAGCATCTCATCCCACAGAACCAAATCGTTTTATCTTACATCAGCCTTTCTTTTGTTAAACTCATGGGCCTAAAGCATGTGACCAATATGATAAAGTTACACTCTTTGACCTGCTTGATATTAGTGCATGAACTTCTCAAGCTTTCTTGAGTCTCTTCCTCTTTAAACTCATGTTTCATAAAAATTGGAGAACCAGTATCTCTTTCCCAAAAATAAGATCATCCCATACAGACCAGAAAATACATTGTGCAACAAAACTTGATAGAGTGGGAGCACCGGCAAAGTAGGAAAACTTTTTAATTGGTAAGTACTGTAAATTTTACGAAAAGGAAGGGAATGATCAGCAAAAATGATCAGAAACTATTCCCCAACTCAAAATTCATGCCGTTTTTAAATAGATATCGAACCTGTGCTCTCTAAATCCTTGGAAGCTCCTCACCAATTGGTGGCACGAAGGATAAATAATCAAAATTCAATCAGGCACATGGAAAGTGAAAAGAGGACCAGAGTAAATGCTCGACCACACAAGCTTTTGCAAACTAACTTCACCCTAATGACCATGCACAAGCTTGACTCAGCCTCCAGATTGCCCAGTGCCACTTTAATTTGGAGGTTGTGATATATTGAGCACATATATTATTAAGCAGAATTGGATTGCTATCCAATATTTAATATCCATTTGATATATGAAGCAAGGTGATGTCAGCACTGTGACTATACAGATAAGGAGTGGTGAAATACCTGGACATCATCATTGAACATTCTGTAGGAGTTTCGATAGCGCTGCAATAACTTGAAAGCCCACTTGCTTTGAAAATCTTCGAACTACATAAAAAGTTATTTCTTCAGAAAGAAAGTATAATGAATTTGTTTCTTTCACTAGCTTCTATATATTTGGATAAGTACACATAGTACCTGTACAACCACATTGGGCCAGCGAGTAAACACAGCTTCCATAAATTCATCAATTACCGCGATATATTCATCACCATCAAGACGATGCTGTTGGAGTCCCAAGTCTATTTAAATAAAACAAAAGTAATCATGTTGGTTCTTCACATGGAAACTGAACCAAAAGTACATGTACTTAAATACAGAAGCAGAAATCCAAAAGGGGTAACAAATATTAATCGACACAAAAACAATTGAAGACAATACTAAATAAATAGAATGAAGTGGCAGAATACCATGTGACCATGCATATGGACAGACTTGGAAACCTCATACAAAATGTATACAAGTTTTTTCTTGGCCAATCATTAAATGTATCGATCTGCTCAAATTGTTTTCAGCAAACTTCAGAATTTGCAACCAAAAAAAACGAGAAATCAAAATCCAGTAAGCTTCAAAAAGAAAAGAGCATGTAGTTTCAGAAAAAATGCAGCTTCAGCCAGAGCTTCAGCAACAACCATTACAATACATGGAGCCTCCTAAATAGGTCAATATTGAGCATCATGCATAATTTGCTGAAAACTATCCACATATCTTTCTTCTTAGCAAAAGCCATGATCGTAGCCCATAACAATGCATTGTATGATTTGATGCTTTTGGAGGAGGAATTAAGTGTCCAAGTACAGTTAACAATTTAAAATCCAAGACTGAAATGGAAGGGTCTTCAACTTTATTTTATTTTTTTTGGTAATTAGGGAAATTGGATGCCTTCAGGTGTCAAGTTGTGACATGCATTCTATATGCGCCATTATAGCAAAAGACTGAGATGGTCTCTTTTGCTCCCAATTTTTTGTATAAGGGAGACTTCCCCTCTTAAGTCGTTTTGTGTAGGGGCAATAACCACCTTAGTACCTCTATATATATAATTTTGTTTATCCTTGAAAGTTAAAAAAACCCAAGGCAGCTCAACAGGAGATAATTTGCTGCAAGAACTTATTTTCATTGTCTCATAACTACTTTCTTCATCCTGATATATACTGTCACACTTCAGAAACTAATAGCAGCATATCTTTCCCAAAGATTAAATGAGCCAATGTCAGCTTTTCTCTCAAACGCCTAGAAAAACAAGTCTGAATCATAGTTACCCAAGGAATTAGGTGCTGCAGACAAATTATGCTCACTCATTGTCTCAACAACAGCATCAAAGAATACGCATGGGAGCTTTTTTCTTCATTTCAACAGTAAGAAGTCAGTTTGCTTAGTCTACATTGAATGCTTATCATAAAAAGGAACCTCACACCACTTATTTAATGCTTTATCTGCATGAAATATGATAGAGACACAACGCGCACAATCTTCTCCCACACTGACAAAGCATGACATAAAACATGAAAGCCTAATCGAATTCATGAATGATAAATTTAGGATAAGTCTAATGGAAGAGCCGCATGCCTCGTTTGGAAACAAATAAAAATTTTATTGAGCGCTTGCAACATCTTGCAGCGTGAACAATAATATTTTAATTTATCAATGATATTCTATAAAGATCCAGTGAAGTGACAACAGAACTTACAAATTGGATCTTCAAGTAGCTTCTCATTATTAGTTCCAACATCAATCATTACAGGAAGTACCTGCAGTCAGAAAAGAATGTCAAAAGGGTATATTTCAAGCATGAAATCTCACCAAGTTCATCATGTAAAGCAGTCAGTTAAAATGTGTTGAAAACCAGATCCAGATATTTTAGTTAGCAGCAGAAGTTCGGTTATTTTGTTTCCAGATTTTCAGGTTTTTGTTTGTTAGCTTTTAGGAATTTGTTTCCTATGTTTTAGGGTGCTGATAATTTTTTTTCAACCAGCAGATACTAACCAGATTTATGGCTAGTATATCTGGCTTTTTGCTTCGGTAGTTAGCACAAAATAATTAGCAGGACGAACAGCTATAAAAGGCCAGAGGCCTCATGTAATTTAGTAGTCCTTTCTGGAGAATAAAAACTTAGAACAATTTCTCCTAAATTTCTACATGGTATCAGAGCTCGATTTGGACCATTCTTTTCTACCATATCTCTGAGTGTTTCCACCATGACAAAATACCCTAGAGCCACCATGGCAAACGAGGTTGAGAGTGAAACCTCAGACCCTAAAGCTCAGAACTCTCCTTTGATTACCCAACCTATCAATGTATCCGAAGGGGGAACTCTTCTCATCACCGGTCATAAACTTACCGGTCACAACTTCAATCAATGGTCCCATTCTGTCATGATTTTCGTTTGCGGAAAAGGTAAAGAAGATTACCTAACTGGAGTTGCCGTACAACCTGAGGAGACGAGCCCAAACTATCGAACATGGAAGGTGGAAAATAACATGGTGATGTCCTGGCTGCTGAATTCAATGAAACAGGGGAGAATTTCATGTACTACCAGACAGCGAAGGAGATTTGGGATGCTGTTCATGAAACTTATTCCAACAAAGATAACACCTCAGCCATCTTCGAAATCAAGGGCATTCTTCATGATCTAAGGCAAGGGGAATCTTCGGTCACTGATTATTTTAACCAATTCATGCGTCATTGGCAGCAACTCGACATGCTGGCAGATATGATGTGGAGTTGTCCTGAAGATAGCAAGCGGTACAAGCATATTCAAGATCGAGAACGCATCTATAAATTTCTGTTAGGCTTGAATCAAGAGCTTGATGAGGTACGTGAACGAGTTCTGAGCATAAAGCCCCTACCTAATGTACGAGAAGTTTTTGCGGAGGTTAGGAGAGAAGAGACTCGACGAAAGGTGATGCTTGGTTGTTCAAAAAACCAGACCAATCCAGAAAATTCTGCCTTAATAGCCTGAGGATCTCAACCATCCTACAGTCGAGGCACTCAGTCAAACAACAACAACCAGCGAAAGGGTGGTCGTCCGTGGTGTGATCATTGCAAACGGACAGGTCACACAAAAGACATTGGTTTCGCAGTAAGTATGGTTAGTAGATACATGAACCAACCAACAGAGAAGCACCTGCAGGCAGTTTTTCGAATCTTACAGTACCTGAAGAGAAGTCCTGGAAGAGGGCTTTACTTTAAGAAAACAGAGGAGAGAAACGTGGAGATTTTCACGGATGCAGATTGGGTTGGATCTCTCACGGACCGAAGGTTGACAACAGGGTATTGTACCTTCGTGTGGGGCAACATGGTTACTTGGAGAAGCAAGAAGCAACCCGTTGTTGCTAGGAGTAGCGCTGAAGCGGAGTTTAGAGCAATGTGTCAAGGAATATGTGAAGGCATGTGGCTGACAAGAGTCTTAAATGAACTAGGATTCACTAATACCAATCCTATGTTATTATTATGTGACAACAAAGCTGCTATTGAGATTCCCAAGAACCCGGTTCATCATGATAGAACAAAACATGTGGAGATCGATCGACATTTCATCAAAGAAAAACTCGATGAAGGAATATTGAAGCTCTTGTATGTTCCAACCAATCATCAAACAGCGGATATACTGACCAAGGTTTTATCCAGAAATAGTTTTGAGACTCTAAGGTGCAAGCTGGGTATGATAGACATTCATAACCCAGCTTGAGGGGGAGTGTTGAAAACCAGATCCAGATATTTTAGTTAGCAGCAGAAGTTCGGTTATTTTGTTTCCAGATTTTCAGGTTTTTGTTTGTTAGCTTTTAGGAATTTGTTTCCTAAGTTTTAGGGTGCCGATAATTTTTTTCAACCAGCAGATACTAACCAGATTTATGGCTAGCATATCTGGCTTTTTGCTTCGGTAGTTAGCACAAAATAATTAGCTGGACGAACAGCTATAAAAGGCCAAAGGCCTCATGTAATTTAGTAGTCCTTTCTGGAGAATAAAAACTTAGAACAATTTCTCCTAAATTTCTACAAAATGTTAACCGAGAATGACAAGGTGATGAATAGTAAATCTTGAAAACTACATTGAAGCAAAAAGATGGCGATTCACGACTCATCAGCAACTAAGCAAGTACTAGCATATTAACTATTAACAGTACTACTTTACCAACAAGAACTATCAGTAGTGCAACAAGAGGGATAAGAGGATTGAGAAGAATTTATGCCAACAGGATATTCAAGCTCTCCATATGAATGCCATGACTTTTGCTGGAGTCATCAATTTTTGATTCTTTGAAAGAAAGAATATATAAATTAACTCATACATCTCACATTCTAAGAGAAAACATTTGCAGCACACTAACAAGAGGGTCACTAATCTTTTCTCAAGAAAAATCAGAGTAAGACAGATTCTTGAAGGATGAATATTGGATCTCCAAGACCCAATATCCTGCTCTGCATAAAGGACCTTTTTAGCACTTGTGGTGGTGATATTACCCCATTTAACCTGATAAAAACCAAGAGTCTCAAAAACCTAACAATGATATTTTGAAGGACGACCCAATATTCTGCTCTGCAAAGGACCTTTTTACCACTTGTAGTGGTGACATTACCCTATTTAACCTCAGAAAAACCAAGAGTCTCAAAAGCCTAACTAGAATATTTTTAAGAATGAAAAGTGTTTCTAAATTCCAGATTTTTCTCATTGCTTAGGTGAGTAGTGCTAATTTAGATTCGGACATAATATTTGTTATCTTGGGCATGGAAGCAGTATGCACATACCCTTTGAGGGTTTATTCCAGCAGCAGCAACATACAGATCTAGCTTCCCTATTGCAATTCCAATTCCCTGAACTCCAAGATCTCCAAGACCCAATATTCTGCTCCCATCTGTGACAACAATCATGTCAACCTGCATAAAGGACATTTTTAGCACTCGTAGTGGTGATGTTACCCTTTTTAACCTGATAAAAGCCAAGCGTCTCAAAAACTAACATGAAAGAAAAGTAAATACTGATCTATGCTACCTAATTACAGCATGAAGGAACGTAAAAACGTTTTATATACATCTGAGATTCATTTCTAACTTCATTCTTCGATTCTTGATCACAAGAAAACCCGACAAAGGTTAAAACCTTTTCAAAAGAAAACGTCCTAAAAGTGATATAGGATTGATCAAGTGGAGGTCCGACTCTAATTCCACTGCAACTACTCACCCCGAATCCATGTGGACTAACTCTTACAAATAAGAGAAGGAAATACCATGTGGGAGTGGGACCTGGGGTGTCATAACAAGAGTTCTATCTTCTCATGATTATTTTCAGTCTCAAGGTCTCTTCGTTACAACTTATGAAGAGAGAGAGAAAGAGAGAGAGAAAGAGAGAGAGAGAGAGAGAGCTTGTGTAAAAGTACATTCAGGAAAAGTATAGTAGATTATATCATAACTTTAATAAACCTACTTGTGCAGATTACTCCATGATAGAGCAATTTTCATATGGCAACAGCAAGAGAACCATAAATGAATAGGGCAAAGAAAAGGTGACATTCTTCAAAGAGATGGGGCTGAGACATGGCCTATGAACAACTGAATGCTAGGCAACATTGACTTATAAAATTGAATAAAAGGAATATTCAATAAAATGATTAGAAAATGCCACAGACCTGCTCAGCTGACCAGTTGTACACCATCGACATCATTTCACCCCGATCTTCAGCACTGAAGTACATTCCCCTTGGCCGTCTAAACAAGCCACCATAGTTTTGGCAAACAAGACCAACAGTGGGTGTATACACGATAGGTGCATATTCCTCAATATTTGCTATTAAAACCTGTTTGAAGAGTATGTTGCTAGATCATCAGTCTAAGTGCAGTCTCACAAGAGTGTCTTCACCCATGTCAAATTCTATTTGAAAAATGCTAAATGACAAAATAGTAAAGCAAAATAGCTTGAAGGGAGTATTTCATTAGAGAATGATATAATTTAAAGTACCAGAGCAAGTTAGACTAGGACCATTAAATTGGATGCTCTAATCCAAAGCAGTGAGATGCACTGAAACCTTATTTGTGGTGGAGTACCTTGACGAGTTGTCAATTCATTGATTGTTCTTAACCCTGGAATTCATTTAAGACCCAGTGCAAGCAGTGAATGGACACCAAACATACTCAATCACACTAAATTGCCAAATTTGCAATAATTTGTACAATGGAGCTTGTCCCTACTATCAGCTCCAGCCTCTTCAAGCAAAAAGGAAAGAACAGTGTAAATTAACTAATTAAGGGAAAATTCCAGTAAAAATTTTCAGTGGCTTTATACACAATTAAAACCAGGTTGCCCATGCTCCCATCGACTAGATCAGTTGTTTTCTCTACAATAAGCTGTAGTAAATCTACATTCTATTTATTGGTATGCCATTGCAAACCAGAGTCTCATTTTCAACAATGCAGGACAATCATTGAACTACAGTGATTTGATGAATGCCAAGGAGCCAGGTCATCAGAGATGCTACCTTTTGACCTCCCACGTGATGAAATGTGTTATTGTCTAAGTGCTATAATACTGAACAATTTCCTCCACTTGATTTCAGTAAATCAATAACTTCCAATGGGTTTGATATAGAAAATTCAATCCTATTGAACTGTTTATCACTCTTGAGGTCAAAAGAATGATGAACGGGGGGGGAGGGGAGGCAGAAGGACAGTAGCTGAATACATGTAAGAACTAAGAAGTGATAGAAGATGCACAGTCGAAAGTGTCAATCACAGTCTTAGATAAATGGAAAGAGTCGCAAGCTTTTAAATGAACAAGATAGAGAGCTTAAACTGAGAAACTCACATTCTCCATCTAAACACATACAGTCAAAAAAAACAGAATGTCATATCATTACCTAAACACATACTCCGGAAATCTTAATGGAGTCCATCTATATTGTGCAAGAGAATACTTGCTACTTCCAGTACACCACTAAAAAAAGCAAAACAATTTAAAAGATTCAACCAGCTAAATCAGCAGATAATGAAATTTTGGCCAACAACGTGCAAGTACATCAACTTTGTCTTCATGACACCATATGAAGAATGTATCATCTTAGATATTGTTGTCTACATGGACACCAGCAAACAGCATAAATTGGTCGCAGTGTTCAACTCAATTGATTTCTTAAGGCTTAGACAAAGAGTATCAACAATTTCCTAGGAACATGACAATGCCTACACAACAATAGCAGAGAAAATTGCCTCGTGAATGGAATTTAGCCAGCTTTTAGATGATCACCTGAATGCTTTAATCATCTTTGCTCAATGGTGGGAAGAAAGACCACAAACAAGGTATATCTAGAAACAGTCTCTAACTTTAGTAACTAAAATCTATTACGTATTCAACTGTGGAAAATAGATCATTCTAACCATCAACAGGCCAAATCCCAGATAGAAAACCTATCCAGATGACAGATCCATAAGGCGTGCTACTAGATGCTAAAACCAAGTTGGAGAGGTGGCCAAAAACCTAAAAGCTAGAGGCATGTCCAGATAGATTTTTGCTTTTTGCTTGATCTAAATCTTGCAACGCACGCAGTTAAATTTTTTTAAATCCTAAACACTTGAAACGTTCATAATATGAAATATTGATACATAGATTTTTTCATAGCTTTTCTATATTTGGATATTATTTTAAATTTTGGCAGGAAAGCAAAAAAGTACTATTTTAATTAAACATAATTCCAAACAAACCAGCCCTAAAACTGTGAATTTTGAGCTATTTCTCTTAGCTAAAGCTAAAACTGTAAATTGCGAGTTAATTCTCCGAGATAGTTAAAGATCAAAATAACAATGTTCACCCACGACAACCACTATTGCTAATTTCCTTCTCGTTAGCCAATTCCATAGAAGGGCAATTTGCGAGAGAAGTTTACAGTTCTAATCAAGAAAAATGAATTTGGCCAAAAGGTCAATCGAGATAAATGAAGGCTCACTTTAATACCTTGTTCACCTGAGCTTTGTATCATGAGCTCAATAATGCATGATCCCGGTTAGATGCAATATCTTGGACAATGCCATGATAAAGACTACCAATAACTATGGAAACAACTCCTTTTTGGAGGCTAAAGATCACCAATCAAGTTATACTCTATGTACAAGATGTGACTTCAATCTAATAGGGTCAAGATCCAAAGTGAGACAGACAGCAAGGCTTAAGCTTCGTCATCAAGGGAACAGTCAGTTCGTGCTTAAGATTTCACAATGTCTTTTCAGATCCTAATTGTATAAATCCAGTCACATAAAAGCACTAAACTTCAATGCTGAGACCTCTTTAGATTAATATTTAATGACCCAGTAACTCTATAATACAAAGTCATGATCAGATTTGACATTACACCCCCCCACCCCAACCCCCGCACACACGCGCCCTGTTTAGTTGGCTAATCCACCTTCATCCATCATCAATCATCTATACATTTTGTCAAATAGAAGGTGCAATATCTACGAGGCAGGAAGAAAGTGAATCTACGTCACATCAAACATTAATTGCTAGTAAAATATACAACACCAACATTGTGACATAGGCAATCCAGTTATTAAATCACCTTATAGTACATTGTCTCATTTCTGTCGTGCAGTCTGTTAAGAATCCGCCACTTTGCCAGAGCATTTGGATCCAATGGTCCGTCTCTTGCTTGCACTTCGAGCCTCTTCAAATCAACCACTGTTGATGGACAGTTTTCAATCAATGTGGCAATGTAATATAAGCAAAGCACGAGCTGGAAAGATGTAATATCCAATTACAGTAGGACTTGCTAAACTTAAGCTTATGACTTAAATTAATTTATCTACATGGTTTACACAGTTAGCCATCCACCTTATCATGCCAGCTACATTGATGGGGATGCCAAACTAATGGAGAGCCTCTCCAATACCCTACTCCCAATTTCCATACCTCAAGCAATGGAATTTTTGCCAAAACCTGGACTCTCCTAAGATAGGAATATTACATAGCAGCTAGAACATCCTTTCAAAGTATGAGCAAGGAATTCAAGTTTATGTTCACCACTGCATCAGAGATTTCAAACCATATAATAACAGGAAATGAATTAATAGCCGTTTCAATGTACCAACATGGAATACAAGCATATTGTTTTCAAACAATGTATCAGAGAATTTAATCCACCCAACAATCAACTTCTAAAGGTAGCAAACATTTTCTAGCTTTTCAATCTATATGGCACCACACTTATCTCTTAGACAAGCCGACAAGCGAAGCGGAATATAACTAGTCATCATGCCTGAAACCCCAGCTTCACAGCCAAAAAAATTTTGCCACTTTTGCCCCTTCCACATTTTAAACCATCGGAACTCTCATCAGTCCACTCAAACAAGCGTCTATGGTTGAAGCGCTGGTAAAACGGAATTGAGAATTTACAGTCTGGATTTCGGGGGAAGAGTTATCCAGTCGGAAAGGTTAATATTAAGGAGAAAAATCATCAGTGCACATTCAAGATTATAATCAATGCTCAGATATGGCTCATTTTCACTATCCTCCAATCAATTATATCTTCATTCTTAATTAGTCAATAAAGTTTCCTTTCTCAAGAATGTAAGAAGAACATAAAAGAAACTGCTTCCCACAAGGAGATTCCAGTATTAATAGAATAATAGGTATCAAAGCAAACTTCGTATCTTTCATGAAGTCAAGTGGCCAAGAACTCAGTGCTGAAGTGGAACTCTTGTGCTTTAATGGTGGATAGTGAATGAATAGAATCTAAAAGGATGTTCCCAAAAGCTCTTTATTTTATTTTCTTAGACAAATAGGTAATCTTGCCATGTGGATATAATATCCACGACAAGTGCTGCTTGGAGAAAATAGCCATGGCAACACATTCACGAAGTCAGCAAGCCAAGAACTCAGTGTTGAAGTGGACCTCTTGCACTTTTACAGTGGATGGTGAGTGGAGCAGAATCTAAAAGGATGTGCGCAAAAGCTCTTTTATTAGACTTTCTCAGACAAAAAGGTGATCTTGCCATGTTGATATAATTTCCACAAAACAGCTGCTTGGAGCAAACAGGCTTGTGGTGAAGCTATATGCAATATTTCATTTATGATAGGTGCCTAGCCACTCAAGTCCTTAAGCATCTCCTTCATGTACATGCGACGTACCATAACACCCATCTGAAGTCAACATCTAAAGCTTCTATGTAGAGGGTTACTTTGCCCTTGAGGATCATTACGCCTGAGAAGATTCCTCGATTGCGTAAGAATAAATAATGCCTAACTCTGGAGATGAGCAGCAAGCTTTTTCCATAATGCATTTGTAGTATGACAGATTTTGGATCAGATAAATAAGCCCTATCTTAAAATGTAGGAAAAACCACAAGAAACTACAGATTGATTACATGTTCCCCTAGAGAACAGATTACTTGGACGCTAGTAGCATCGACAGCTAAATTTAACCACAATTCCAACATAATTGCACCGACAACAAGGAGAAGCATTCAGTAAGGTGCTTCAAATCATAAACAAGTAGAATATGCTCCAATAGCCTTGTTATACTTTTGTGTCATCTACATTCTACAGATATTCTCGATAAAACTGAGAGGGAGCCACTATGTAACATAGCTTTCAGTAGCTCAGATACAACAGAGCCCAATCTGCTATTGGACTCTCTACCGGGCATAATTCGTTAGATCATCAGGTTCTACCGGAGATGGCCTCCTCATCTAATTTGCATTATTTAACGTGGAACGCCCATCAGAAAACTTGAATATCAAAGTAACTTGAGAAATGTAAATATGGTTTTACAAGAATAGGTACAGCGACAGATGCTTATCAGTCTAAGTGAATCAAAGCAGTTTCTGAAAGGGAAGCCCGAGTAACAGAACATACTAAAGCGTTCAATTTGCTGCTCGGAAGACATAACGCTGGGAGGGAGAAGACCCCGAAGATCAAGACGATCTCGTTCTGTCATAGAGAATGCTGTTCCCTAGAAATGCAAAAGGGGTCAGCCACATACGCAGTTGAAATACCAAGTCCACTAACTAAATCAACCTGAAATCTAGAATATATATATATAAATGCCGATGAAAATGTTAACTTGGAAAACCAGAAGAACAAAAATTTAACCCTTCCAAGCCAAACTTAAAAATGGAAAGGAAAGTTTTATCATCTACAAACAGAAAATTTGAGTAATTGCCACTCCAGCTGACCATCTGATTAACAGTGCCAGTGCCACAGTACATCGTCGTATCGGTTCACTTGAAAAAACTGAACGACCAGAATTTTTAACCCTTGGATGGAAAAACTTAGAATTGTAAGAGAATGCAATCATCATCGAAATGAAAATACGAGCAACTACAGCCCCCTGACCATCCAATGAACAAATCCGTGTCAGTCGTTGAATTTTAGCAAGTCGCCGACGCAGTATTCCTTCCCAACGGCAAAAGGAGATTCGAACTAACTAGACAACCTAACACGATACTAAAACCAACCAAAGGAAGGCAAAAAGGCCAAGATCGAAATCATCAGCCGAACATTCCTTCATGAACAAGGACAGTCGGAGCAACTTCGGCGTCGGCGAGACAAACACACGGGAACATCGAGACGCCACCGAATACTATATTCCAGCGATTCCAAGCTCCACGTAATCCGCCTTGCGCTACCGACGAACCGCCTCCGGCGCAACCGTCTCGGGCCCCGAGCGCTCTAGCATTGAGGCCGAACGAACTCGATCGGAGATTACCTTGTTGAACCAGGGATCGTGGAGGATGTCGATGCTGCGCTTGTGCACCATGGTGGGGCGGTGCCCCTCGGTCGTGGTGAAGCACCGGGCGGCGGGGCTCGCGAGCCGACGGTGCCGGAGGAGCATCCGCCGCCCGATCAGCGACGAGGACGCCACGATCTGGCTCGGCAGGTTCGGCATCGCGGGGCGCGCGGGGGGGTCGAGGAGGAGGAGGAGATGCGGGAGCAGGCGGAGATCGATCGGGAGAGATCGCGCGCGCGAGAGAGAGAGAGAGAGAGAGAGAGAGAGGGGGCTAGTTCAGGTCAGGAGGATAGTGTAGCGAGGGGAGTGAAGTGAACGGGAGCAGGAAGACGGGTCCCGTGTGATTGGCGGCCGCCGTGGTGTTGGAGGGGAGGTTGATGACGACACGATGGTCAAAGTCAAAGTTTGCGGGTGTGTCGTGTGGTGGGGATGAAATGCCGTTGCTGCATCATCCAATGAGGAAAAGCTCGCGAGGGGATATTACTATTGCTTCCCTCCTTTCGACAATTGACGTCGTGGATCTTTGTCTTACGTTTTTTCCCCCCCTCGGACCGAATCGGATCGGATCGGCCGGAGTCGCGGATCATTTGCGTGCAAATAGGCCCATCATGGGCCGGGAAAGCACTCTCCTCCTTTGCATCTTGGCTTTTTATCCGGAAAAAAAACCAAAAGCGGACCTCTTTTCTAAAGCGTTACAACATGCATGGCAATTTTAGCGTCGTGGCGGAATTTAAAAGTATTTGTCAATCTGGAAATGAGCCCGTGAAATCGATATAAGGGTCGGAAGTGGACTGTACTTGAGGTTGAGGAATGTGAAAGTAGTCGCGACTCGAATGGATCGGAAAATGTTATGTGTCCCGGTGGTAAAAAGTTGTGCGCTTGTTTGGTATGTTTAAAGGGTCGTGTTAAAATTTGTCGCTACGGTAAAAAGATTGTGCATTCCTTGGGTAATTGCCCCAGCATTTATTTTGAAAATCAAAAGGTGCTGGTAAAAGGACTAGTAGTGTTTTTCCATAACACCAACTGAGAGAGATTAATTGCTAATGATCAACTTACTTAACATCAAAGGATAATGACACAAATAATATCTAAATTTTGACCTAATATGCAATGTAATCCTTAAATTTTGGCCTAATTTCAACGTGGTCCCTAAATTTTTAATTTGTTCAAGATGATCCATGAATTTTTTACACATGTTTAATAGAGTCTCTGAACTATATGAAAATATTCGATGTAGTGCTTAAACTTGAATTAAAAGAAAGAACTACATTAAACATCTTCATATAATTCAAAGACCAATTTAAATATGTACCAAAAATTCAAAGACAATATTGAACAAATTAAAAATTCAAGGATCACATTGCACATTGAGTTAAAGTTTTGGGATTATATTGAACAAATTAAAAGGTCATAGACCACATTGCACGTTAGGCTAAAATTCATGGACTATTTGTGTCATTTTCTCTAACATCGGTTAACAAGTAGATAATCTTCATTTCAATTTCATTTTTAGATTGGAAAAAAGGAAATCGAAGACATTTTCAAGACCCAAACGGGCCTCAGCTCTCAAAACTACTAAATATTGGCCCCATTTGGTTCAGCTTTGGGAAGGGGCTTTCGGCCTCGAAAGCCCCTTCCCAAAATGCTGAACCGTTTGATTTAGCTTTTCGAGTCCGGAAAGCCAAAAGCTAGCATTCCACAAATGCTGAAGCCTATTTTTCCCTTCCTAAATTGCCCTCACTCAAATTTCAATATTTCGGTTTTGCCCGTTACTGTTCATCTTCTTCACCGCGAGGGTGGCCGGCGAGGTCACCTGACCCAGGCGACGGCCGCCTGGTGTCGAGCAACCGCCAGGCGCCATTGCCTGGGTCGCGTGACTCCAAGCGATGGCCGCCTGGGTCGCGACCCAGGCCGACATCGCCTGAGGTCGCGCGACCCAGGCGACGATGCCTGGGCGATCGCTTGACCCCAGGCGGCCATTGCCTGGGTCGGGCGACCTCGCCGGCCCTTCGCCGGCCACCCTCACGGTGAAGAAGATAAACAGTAATAGGGGCAAAATCGGAATATTAAAAATAAAAATTGCCAAAGCCCTTTGCAAAAAAAAATTTACCGAACACTACTTAAGTCAAAGTAGCTTCACAAATTTTTTTTTACCAAACACTACTTGCATTTTCCCAAGTGACTTTCACCTAAAGGTATTTGCATTCTCCCAAATACCATTTGAAAAGCCGAACGAAACGGCCCATTACCTTGAGCAGCATGGTCCCCTGCGCAACAGCACCATGAACTCAGTAAAGCATAATCCTGATAAGGTGCAAATGATCGCGAGCAATGCCATTGTAACAACACCAATCACCGATATTTATGCTTAAACGACTCCTTTTTGGAGGCTAACGGCAGCCAAGCCAAATTGCTACTCTGCATTCCACATATATGATTTCCATCTGATGAGAATCAAGATCCAAAGTAAGACAACAAGGTCTGAAGCTTCATCATCCAGAGGAAACAAGCTCTGCTTGAGAATTCAATGTACTTTCAGATGATTTATAATAATGCCCAGCCAGTCGGATAAATAACCCAGTATCTGTATTCAATGCAAAAGCATAAGATCGCTTTTTAAGTATAGAAGACATTGGCGAGCTCACCCGTCGAACTGATCTTAGAATTGGCTATCGTATAAACTCGATGCTAGTTTAAAAGACCATGGTCACTGCGAATGAGAGAACATCAAGGAACGGTGCAAGGAAGTAGAAGGAAGTGGTCTGATCACAATTTTACCTGGTAAAACGGAATCTTTCCACCTGTAGGAGGTATTACAGCAACCATGAAAAGATCAATCAGAGTAACGGTTGTGCCTAAACATCGGGGCTCCTAATGCCTCTAACAGGCATTCGCCGCATCCCCACGATAAGCAACAATTCAACCCATCATCGAAGGCTCAAACGAGGGGGAAATGCAAAGAAACAGTCGGATAGGAGTCTGCAGCTAATTCGAGATGTGAGCACACAAAGAATTTGTTATGCAGGTTACTTCTCAGAGACACTGTCCAGCAACCTTGGCAAAAGGACATCAGCAAGTTGCCCGCAGACATAAGGCTAGAACAACTACATTCGAGTAGAGCGAAAGAACATAATACTTTAATGAGGCTAACCACAAGAAAGTACACAAAGATGAGCAAAAACAGCATTAACTCACATAGAGAAGGCTATGTTCTACATAATCAAATCAAATAAGCAAAAGTAAAACCAAACTTCTTATCCTGCATCAGCAGCTAAAAGTATGAGCGCGAACACTACATCATATACGCTCCGCAAGCTTTCAAAAAGCATTCCCCTACCACAGAGTTGTCTTGCACATGCTTCCGCAACGACTCGGTAGAATGGGAATGATACCAGAACGCAATCACCTCTTCCTTTTCTTATTTCCTGAGGCATTACTTTGCTTGATGCCTTTCAAGTCATTGGTAGTCTCGGCAGTGTTTTGCTTCTTCATGCCTTTCCTCCCCCCGAACCCGAATTTGGAGTCTCGCGTTTCCCTCTTCTTCACCTTCTTGTCCATTCCCTTCCTTCCCTTGCCGCCACCGCCACCCTGCCTCGATCTCCCTCCGGACCGATCTCCCGGGGCCACACCAGGCCTCTTCTTTCCGGACCTCTCGAAAGCCTTCCCGTCCTCGAAATCGAAAGGCGGTTCGCCGTCCTTATCGCCTCCCGCGAATCCACTCTGCTGCCTCTGCTTCCTCCACTTCTTCACGGCCTCTATCCCCTCTTTCTTCTGCTTAGCCCTCTCTTTCTGCTTCTGGGCTTGAACCTCCTTCGCCAGCTTCTTCGCCTCCCTCGCCTTCTTTCTCTCCTCCGCCTCCTCCATCTCCCTCTTCTCGGCCAAAAGCCTGCCCTTCACCTTCGCCATGTGCGAATCCGTCTTCACCATCTCGGCGTAATAGTCCGAGGACCTGAGAAAGGGAAGCCCCATCGACTGGAGCTTCCCGAAGGCTTCCCTCGTCCCCTCGAGCGCCTGCGTATAGAAAGAGAGCTCCCGCGCGAGGTCGTCGTTCACGTCGACCTCTTGCTCCTGCTGGCGATCGACGTCGACGGCGAGCCGGTGTATCCAGGGCACGTCCTGCGGCCAGCTCATGTCTCCAAGCTTATCCATGATGCCGTCCCTGTCGTACACGGCGTTCTCCTTAGCCTCCGGCAACTTCACATCTTCTTCTTCTTCCTCTGCGTCCGATTCTTCCGATTCGGAATCAACAGTTTCATCGCCGACATCATTCATCTCATCCTCCGACATTTCGTCCTCGTCAAACACGCCGGTCCGTCTCGGACTCACGGCCATCCCAGCACAAACTAATCAAGAAAGATGAACGCAGCTACTTTCGATCAGAACGCGCAGTCGGAAAACTCGCTCCCCACCGAATTCTTTTCTAGCGGGTCGCGCGGAAGGGGGAACGGAGACTCACCTCGGTTCCAACGGCGAAGGGGCGAGATAGGGGGCGGCGGCGGCGAAGATTGGCGGCGGGTCGGAGGCGGCGAGCTGCGAGGAAACGAGAGAAGCGGAGCCGGGTCGCTGCCGAGGGAGGCGGAGCTGGGTTGCTGGGCGGACGAGCGGAGGCCGGAGACGGAGAGAGGAGAGGCGGCGGCGAGAGGTTGCGACTTTGCCAGCGAGAGCTTAGAGGAAGAGGGGAGACCGAGGGACAGACTGCGGCCGGCCGGGGTTAGAGGAGAGGAGAGAAGGCATGTTGGGGTTTAGGGTTTCACTTTCTCGCTTCAGATTTTAGAACGAGACTATTAATTTTTCTGTTTTTCATTATGTATTTTGTCGGGCTTGTTAAATACCCAAAAAAAATAAAAATTTGCTATTTTCAAAGCTCTTTTTATCTCATGGTACACATAATTAGTGGATTAAAAATAAAAATATTTCTTTTTATTACGCATGAGTTAGGGGTGAGCATAGTTCCAACATAGAACTTATAACCTGAGAATCGGACTAGTGAGAACCTGTCGGTTCCATGTTCCAATGTATGCAGGATAGATTTCAGGTTTCAAAAATTGGAAAACCTTTTTCGACGAATAAGTTCCAAGTTCTAGGTAGATGGAACTTGAAACCTGAAACCTTAAATAAGTTTTTTATGTTTTTTGTCGGTCTATGTCTTCACGTGATCCTACGGCATTTCATAGTGTTAGATGATGTGTGTATAATATGGACCCGTCTATCTAAGTTTTCATTTTATGACTTGTTAATGTTTCATATTCTTCGTGTCTTTAAATATAAGTTGTAGTCAGTGGATCGTAACAGCAAGTGATAATCATTAAGGATGATGATTCACTGCAATTGTTCAATTAATAGTACAGGTAAAACCTGGACAGACCTGGAATCGACCTGCAACCTCTAACAGGGTAAGTTCCAAGTTCTAATGTATGTAGGGCAAATTTCACGTTCCAAAAAATAGGAACCTGTTCTTATAGGTAGGTCTAAGGTGGAACCATGTAACTTGGAACCGCTCGCCCCTAGTATGATTAGTAAGTGTCCTAAAAGCACTTGCACTAAAACCTAAATTGACAATGCATTGAAAGTGATAAAATTTCTCTATTAAACGTGTTTAATAAGTCCCTTAGAAGAGATTCGTCGCGAAAGTCAAAATGTAATTTTCTCACTTTTCCATTAAAATCTAAAACATTGTGCGAATTATAAAAACCTATGGAAAAACTACGTTTAAATATGCGAGTTGACATTTAGATATTGTAAAAATTTTGAGGGTTTAAGCAAAGTGTGTGCGTCATGAGATTTGTAAAAAATAAATAAATCGAATGCTTTTGTTTTATACTTAAGTATCACAAAAAAGGTACAATCCAAAAATAAATAGACGATGTTTATGATAATCGGTAGATTTTTTTTCTATAATTAGAGTTTTTAGGTGCAAAAAACTCATTGCTAGTCTATTTCAAATATATTCGACCAAAAAAAAGTCTATTTCAAATATCATTGACAAAAATAAATATTGATTAAATAGTGCTTGATCACCATACGCACACACGTGAGGGTGGAGGAAACAATGATTTTCTTCTATAAAACACAAAAGCCGCTTTCTCTTTCCACAAATCTAAAAAAAAAAATTATATCGAAAACTCTTTTATGAGCCTTCTTACCCAGAGGTGGTAAATGGATCGAGAATTCTTTTTGCACTTCTATTTAATGAGTCAAGTGATAAAATAGATCGCCTAAAATTTAAAAAAGGGCTAAAGTGGATTTTGGAGACCAAAGCTTAACAGGACGTGGGTTGAAGTGGGTTGAGGTAAGGGTAATTTGTCCAAACAGTCCTAAACCTATTGCACTTTTGTCAATTCAGCTTTAAACCCTTAAATTTTGTTAATTGAGTCATAAACATTTTCGCGCTGTGCTAATTAAGTCCATTCGACCAATTTTTGCCGGAAATTGGTGATGTGGGTGCCGGCCGTGGCCATCCTATTTAGCACGGCCAACGCTAATTTTGACTTTTTTTAATAATATTTTTTTGAATTTTTTTATTTTTTATTATATATTTTTCTTTTTCCTCTTTTTCTTTTCTTTTCTTTTGTTTGTTTTTTCAACACTTCTGACCGGCCGACCATCACTAGCCATAGGCAAGGCCCGGCAACCCTCACTTTGTCTGGGCAAGGGCGTCGCGGCCTTCGCCCTTCACCTAGTCTGGCCATGGTTTCGTAGCCCTCGCTGGCTCACCTCGCCTAAATCTGGACAAAGGCCCAACGCCCTCACTTGTGGCCAACAATGGTCAGATGGCGAGGCCAACCAAAGGTGTAAAACAAAAAACAAAAGAAAAAAAGAAAAAAATAATAATAATAATATGAAAAAAATTTAAAATATTATTTAAAATATGCATATTAGGCTTATTAGCGCCGATCGAGTTATGTAAGATAGCCGGTGTCCACGTCATTAATTTCTGGTCAAAATTGGTAGAATGAACTCAATTGTTAAAAGTGCAATAGGTTTAGAACTTTTTGGATAACTTTTTTATTGAGGAATGCCCATTTCAAACTCATTTTACTTGAACATATTTCAATTATAAGTACAATTATTTTACGATAAAAAAGGAAAAGGAAACAAAGCAAAGTAAACGGAGGTACGAAAAGAGAGGGAGGCCACCATTGACGGTGACGATAGCGGCCAACGACAATGTTGCCCACGGCAATGGATCTCGAAAACGACATCACTTGAGGTCGGGGTGGTCTCACCTATCACCAGTGACCTCCACCCAAAGACCCCCCCCCCCCCTCTCTCTCTCTCTTTGCATGGTCTCGCCTATTGCTAGGGACCTCCACTTGAAGTCCTCTCTCTCTCTCTCTCGGCGCGGGTGTGTACACACTAAGCATCATAGATCTAATCGAAAGAGCGGCGTGATTGTTTGATCAAGCTCGGCCTCCATCCAAACTGAGCTTGCGACCGCTTGAGCGCGACACCTCAAGCATGCCTCCAACTTGTGACCTCATGGTGAGGTTGTGCTCGAGCATCGCAACTTCGATTCAATCGGTCGGTCCACGATGCGCTACCAGTTACGGTCCAGTTTCAACATTGCCGATTTGAATTCCTTACTAATAGCACCTCAAATGGCGATTATTTGATTAATTAATCTATGTTTAAGATGTACGGTTGAGCTCTACGAGGATGGGATTTGGTCATCCTAATAATAGAGTCACTCATCTATAAATTCTCTTCTAATTTTCGTTCAAGTTTCCTTTTTGACCTTTTTAGTGGGTGTCTCTAGGTTTAAGTTAGGTCTAACAATACTAATAAGTAGGGCAATAACATTCCCAACCCCATGCAAAAGATGAAAGGACACGACCAAATGCATGCACCATGCACGATTAAAGTAGCTAAGGAACCATATTCCATGCCATATATTAAACGAACAAAAGTAATTCGATTCTCTGCACCATCAAGTCTAAAAAAAAAAAAATTCATTTTTCTCATCTTACTTCATAAGATTAGTACGATACTTTATTTGTCTCAAGGTTTACTTGTTATAAAAATTCAAATTATATTAGTGAAAACCTCTCTAACATTATCCTCATTATACAATATATTTCCAAATATTACTATAAAAAGCAAATTGTCGAGCACATTAAAACGGGTGGCAATAATTTCCATTTTTAACTCTAAGCTACTTATTAAACGATTTTGCCTGGATCTGGGTGAGGGCCCGACGCCCTCTCGCCTGTGGCTGGTAATGATCAGACGACGAGGCCGACCAGAGGTGTAAAAAAAAAAGAAAAGGAAAAAGGAAAGAAAAAAATTAATAAAATATTCCAAAAAAAAAATTAAATTGTCATCGAAAATATCTAGGTCAACGTCGACTATGCCACGTAGGACGACCAGTATATATGTCATCAATTTTCGATGAAAATTGGCCAAATGGACTCAATTGACAAAACATGAAAAGGTTTATAACTCAATTAATAACATTAAAAAGCTTAGAACTAAATTGACAAAGGTATAATAAATTAGGACTGTTTGGATAATTTTCTCGTTGAGGCAATACCCATTTCGAACTCATTTTAGTTGAACATATTTCAATTATAAGTACATTTACTATATGAAAAAAAAATGGAAAAGAAAAAGGAAACATAGAAAAGTAACGGAGGTACGAAAAGAGAGGGAGGCCACCACTGATGGTGGCAATAGCGGCCATTGGCAATGTTGCGCACGGAAATGGATCTCGACAACGACGTCGCTTGAGGTCGAGGTGGTCTCACCTATCGCCCGCAACCTCCGCCTAGAACCCCCCCCCCCCCCCCTCCTCTCTCTCTCTCTGCATGCGTGCGTGTACACACTAAATAAACAGATGTGTCTATGATGATCGATACATTATTTTTCTATAATTAGAGTTTCTAAGTGCGAAAAACTCGTTACCAATCTATTTCAAATATCACTGATACAAATAAATATTAATTAAATAGTGCTTGATCACCATACGTACGCATTTGAGGGTGGAGGAGATAATGATTTTCTTCTATAAAAACTAGGAAAAGTACTAAAAAAGTCATAAACTTATTGATACCAATTTAGCATAAACCTTTTCGGTTGGGCTCATTTATTCATAAACATTTTGACGTTGGTACCAATTCATTTAAAGTGTAAATCGTTGATGTGACACCGCCTTCCTATGCGTGGCTACTTCTGGCGCTAAAATGAGCATTTTTATTTTTTATTTTTTTTTCTTTTCCTTTCTTTTTTGCTTTTCCTTTTCTTTTGCCGGTGGCTGGCCCTGGCCACAAGCCATGGTCGGCGAGGCCCCCTTGCCATATCAAAACCATGTTAGAGCTGCCATGCCACGTAGACGCTAACATTCACGTAGCTATATACGGGCTAAATTGTAGAAAAGACTAAAGTAGCATTAATGTGAAAATGTTTAGAACTAAATTGGTCTAATTGAAAGGTTTAGGACTGAATTGGTATCAATGTAACAATTTTAGGACTTTTTTGGTACTTTTCCCAAAACTACGAAAACCGCTTTCTCTTTCCACAAATCTAAAAAAATCACAAAAAATATATGTCGAAAACCCCTTTCATGTCTCTCTTCTTACTTAGAGTTGGCAAAATAGATTTATAAGTCTTTTTGCAACTCATATCCAATGGGTCAAGTGATAAAATGGATCGCCTAAGATTTAAAAACTGAGCCGAAATGGATTTCAATGACCAATTTCTGTATGAAAAGAAAGGACAAGGAAACCAAAGAAAGTAAACGAAGGTACGAAAAG